CCAAGGACTGCGTAGCCTGGTAAGATTAGAGCTTATTTCCAGCCATTGTCATAAGAGCCAACACGTCCAGCTTCCTCCTGGTAAATAAATCTTTAATCAGTTCACTTTAACAGATGACCCTCTGGTCCTTGCTTGGATTTCTTCAGAGATGGCTGTTTCCTAAGCTTCCAGAGAAGCCTATTCCATCATACTATGATTATCATAAACCTATGCCAGGGAACCCCTTGCATGGGAAGTACACTTCTACATTGCTACACTACTATCACACTGGTCTTTTAAAAGTAAAATAGTATTTACTGCTACAAATACATAATATATTTACTATGCTCAGTGTAGTAAAAAAACTACAGCCTAAGGAGATTTACCCAATTCCCCTTAGTCATTCCCCGGTATATCTTAGGCTTACATTTTTCCTTAAAAAGTTTCTTTTTTATTCACTTCTTGAGCAGACTATAATTTAAAATGAGAATGAACAGAGAAGTTATAAAGTAAGCCCAAAAAGTAAAGAGAAGCAATGACATTTCAAAAGTATTTCAAAGCAAAATTTTAGGTAATACATTTAGGGAGAGGTACCAACATATGAAATATTTTTATTTTAATCAATCTGGGTATAGTTATGATTATTCTAGAAACTAAGAATTATTTGATGGCTGAATCATGGGAATATATTGATATATAGCAGAATCAGCCAATGTGTTGACTTATTTTATTTTTATTAATCTCATATAATGTATCATGTAATTTTTTTACTCTATTTATCGATCTTAATATGTATGCTTTTTTTTTTAAATAGGGAAGAAGAATTTGATGAGTATTTTCAGGATTTGTTTCTATAAGACGAGAGAGACTTAATGTGAAACTTCATGAAGTTTTAAACTTCATGCAATTTGAAATTCCATGTAAGTTTTTATCTGCAAGTTACAGCTTGTGTGGTGTCTTTGGAAATAAAAATCCAGGTTCTCTCAGAATGTCAGATGCTTTGGAAATTCGTTAGTTCAATTAAAGACTTTCCTGTCCTTTAAATATCTTTTCAATTGCTTATCTACAATTCTGTTTTATCTAGCTCCTAGAGGACAGAGCTGGACAGTTTCCATTGCTCCTACGTTTTGTAGGTTTTTTTGCACTGCCTTCATTATTTATCTTCTCTTGCCTTCATTATTTTATTTTATTATTTTTTCTTTTTCTGTTTTTTAGAGCCACCAATACTAGATTTGTTTGTTTTTAATTTTTTTCTTTTGTAGAAACAGAGTCCTCGTGTGTTGCCCAGACTGGTATTCAAACTCCTGGCCTTATGCATTCCTCCCACCCTGGCCTCTCAAAGTGCGAGGATTGCAGGTGTGAGCCACCATGTTCTGCCAGTTATTTTAAATTACTAGGATTAAAGTAGATTATGTATGTCTTTAACCTCTTTCTTTCCCATTGATAAACTGGCACCCATCTTTTAAGTACCTGCTTTCCCATTACCACCTATTTTCGGCTGCTTTTTGAGGTTTTTAGCTAGCCTGTCTCTTGCTTCCTTCTTAACCTCTACCACTTAAGAGAGTTTGTTATAATCAAATTTGACCTCCTAGTCTGTGGATAATTTGCTGTTAAGTAAATGATTACCACAGGGAGCCAGTGAGGTCCTAGTAGTCTAAAACAGTTCATGTGTTCACAAAACTGACTCCCCAGCAGAGATTATGCAATAAGATAATAATTTAACTGAATAATACGATGTGCGTGTATCTTACCTCAGATACACTCATGCAAATATGAATATAATTCTGATATAGTTTGGCTCTGTGTCCCCACCCAAATCTCATCTTGAATGTGTACTCCCTTAATTCCCACATGTTATGGGAGGGATCCGGTGAGAGATAATTTGCATCAAGGGGGCAGTTTCCCCCATACTGTTCTTGTGGTAGTGAATAAGTCTCATGAGATACGATGGTTTTATCAGGGGCTTCTGCTTTTGCATCCTTCTCATTTTCTTTTGCTGCTACCAAGTAAGAAGTGCCTCTTGCCTCCCACCATGATTCTGAGGCTTTCCCAGCCATGTGGAACTGTAAGTCCAGCTAAACCCCTTTCTTCCCCAGTCTCCGGTATCTTTATCAGCTGTGTGAAAACGGACTAATAGAACTTCTATGCAGAAATATATTATAAAATGTTAACTTCTTAACATAAGATCCTACTTGCAAGGGTCTATGGAGGTACTTCAGGAGATCCAAGCCTTTTTAGAATCTATGTGTAAACTTCTGTGTATGTTTTTTGGAGGAAAAGTACATAAATTTCAAATTTTCAAAAATCAGGTTTTCAAAAGGGTTTATTGATTTCTGAAAACAGGTAAAGATCTGCTTTTATAAAGAGCAAATGGATAGATATAGGAGAAGATGCTTGACTTGATGAATAACAGAAAGGACATATAGAAAATGAACTGAACATAAGCAGGTATTTTATTGAAGATATACTATTTTAAACAACATTTAAACATGGAATGATTGGCATTAAACTGCAAAATAAGTAATTTGTTATCTTATTTTAAAATGGTTATTATCAGAGATTTTCCTTTTATTAAACAGTTGTTATTCATTAATTCCACAAATATTTATCAGGCTTCTATTATGTGTGAGGCACTGAGCTGGGCATGGCTGTAAAGGAACCATCTAGGAAGTAATTAGGCAATCATTTCTGAACCTGTTTCAGAAAAGTAAATCAGTGTTGGGTTTATCAGTGTTTAACATTGATAGTCCTCTCACTTCTTGAAGAAATTGTTTTTTTTAACCTAACTACTTGTAGTGTGTAAAAATGAATCTATATTTTTGAGGAAAAAGTGTTTGAAATGTCCAGCAGCAAGACTGATATTAGTTGTATAATATATGCAGTTAAACATTCTTATGGTAAAAATATGTCCATTGTTTAGTGGTTGTCAGAAAATAAAATTCCTGCAAAATTAAAATTAAGAATTTAGGAAGAATATCTAAAGACCTTTTAAAAATAGATCAGTGTATTTGATATTTCAAGTAGGTTTATGACATCAGGCTCATTTATAAATTTATATAAAATCACAACACTTAATCCACTCATGCACAATGACAGATAATGGGAGTCATGTTTTTAAGGAGTCTTGAAAAGGCCTCTAACACGATGAGTTTAAATAGTAATTCTCCTACCTACCTGTCTCAAACTTCGCTATAGTGCAGTCAGTAGTAGTCAGCAGACCACTTGTCTGGGGGTATTGAAGTTAGGCCTTCTTACACTCGCTCTTATACAGAGTTCATGTATTTGGCAGACATTCAGTGGTCGACATCTCTAACCTTAATACAATTTCTGGTGACTAAGGAGGGGAAGTTGTTTGAGCTGACTGATATTTTGGGGTCCAAAATTACATAGGGCTAAAGGAATAAAGTTTCTTACATGGTTTTTAAAATAATAGTGATTCTGGAAGTGGAGTTTCACAATTATTTTAAACAGTGGAAATGAGGGAGCATGCATCACTTAGCTAAGTTGATTACTTTAATAAACAATACTCATTTAATAAACAATACTCATTTAAGTATGACTTACTGTCATACCTTATTTATATCTGTTTGTTGTAACATTTATTCACATAGTATTCATTCATATTACTGAGTGCCTGCCTTGTGCCAGGCACTGCTCTAGGTGCCAAAATAGAGCTGTGAACAAAACAGACAAAATAGACAAAAATCTTTCCTCATAAACTTTACATTCTAATGTGAGAGAAGCTGTCTTGCAATTCTAAATACCTAACTTATAAAAATAAAACAAATGGTGATTCATTTCTTGGCTGCTCAAAATTGAACGTGGTCTTGTCTGTTACAAAATATATAGGTTCATTGATCTTCAATTCATTAGAATGTAGATAGCTTGTGACAAAAAAAAATCTACAAGAAAATATATGGCATACTATATTATTATTCTGTTTTCTAATTTTATCTATGATTATAGATAACTAAAGGAAGAAATCTTAAATTTCTCTAATATCTGGACAGACATATACCATGCAGTGGAAGTAGTTGATTGCCCTTAGTTTCCCTTAACAATTTAATATTTAGAATGTTTGGTAGGTAGTTCTATTAATCATTTTTAGAAAGTCATCTTGGTTGAAGTTTTTCCCCACTATTTTTGATAACAAGGTTCTTGCATAATCCAATCACATACTTCTTAATGCATAATATTCATTAGCTGCTTTAACTTGCATTACGATTATCCAGTTAGTATCTTGTGCATTGATACTCTTTTTAATGAAAAGAATAGTTCTGAACCATAAAAAATATTCTTAGTTACACCCAAAATAATTGATTTCAAACTTTGAAGGCGGAGTGTAGGACAAAGGCATAGTTTTAATAAACTGCCAAAAAATAGTTTGGTCATCATTCCATTCTCAAAGGTAAAAGTAGAGGAAAGAGAAAAGCATTTCAGATGGAATAACATTGAATAAAATGACTTCATTACTTTATTTTCTATACCATATTTACAACACTATATATTCTGTATTGCGTTTACTCTTTTATTAAGACATGTTGTGAGTTTTTAGTTCAGGGAGTGGCTCGAGGTGTGAATCACAGTTACAAATGTTATGGGTGAATTGTGTTTCCCCCACCCCTCACCCATTTCATATATTTAAGTCCCAATCCCCAGTACCTCAGAATGTGACTGTATTTGGAGATAAGGCCATTAACGAGGTAATTAAGACTAAAATGAGGTCACATGGGTAGGCCCTAATCCAGTCCTACTGGAGTCCTTATAAGAAAAGGAGATTAGGACACAGACACACAGAGGGAAGACCATGTGAAGACACAGGGAGGAGATGGCCATCTGCAAACCAAGTTGAGAGACCTCCCAAGAAGCCAACCCTGCCAACTCCTTGATCTTGAACTTCCAGCCCCCAAGACTTTGAGAAAATACATTTCTATTGGTTAAGCACCCAGTCTGTGGTACTTTGTTATAGCAGCCTTAGCAAATAAATACAATTAATGTTTTAAAAAAGAATTTGTGACTAGTTTCAGGATTGCATATTTTTTAATTTAAAATAAATTGGCACGAAAAATGTACCCATTTTTGTCATATTTTGCACTTTTGTTGAACTTTATTTTGCCCTTGGGGTTTTTGGGCTAGCAATATGTATTTTCTTCATAGTCACAGGGTAGTTTTTCTGAAGATCCTCTTACTCTGTTACTTGATGATTTGTTGAAGTTCTTTTGAATATTTTCTGGTTTTCTTCAAAGGTAAAACGATATTTGAAGTTTAGACCAGTTAGATTATATTACAACATTAAACATGTTTTGGACTTTTTGTCATCACCACCTCCTGAATCTTCAGCAGCTAGTAAAATCAAGGAAAGCAATATTATTAGGAGTTAGTGGATATATAGTGTTTTTATTCTAATACTCCCATGATAGTAGTGTCAATTTTATAGACTAGTCAGTCATTTTAACCTAGCAAGTACTATGGATTTGACCATGTAAAAACTTGAATTCATATTCAGAGTTGGTCCATTCAAAAAATAGAATCTGGGTTGGGTGCAGTGGCTCCTGCCTGTAATCCCAGCACTTTGGGAGGCCGAGGCGGGCGGATCCCTTGAGGTTAGGAGTGCGAGACCAGCCTGGTCAATATGGTGAAACCCTGTCTATAGTAAAAATATAAAAATTAGCTGAGTGTGGTGGCATGCACCTGTAATCCCAGCTACTCAGGAGGCTGAGGTGGGAGGATTGCTTGAATCTGGGAGGCAGAGATTGCAATGAACTGAGATCAAGCCATTGCACTCCAGTCTGGGCGACAGAGTGAGTGAGACTCCGTCTCAAAAAAATAAATGAATAAAAAATAGAATCTGATAAATGGTTGGCCAGTTAACATCTTAGTTTCTCACTGAGACAATGCAATCTGGAAATCTGAGCTTGATCCACAAAGCTCCATGCCTGGCAATACAAAATAATGATCTTAGTCCACAAAGAATTCTCTATGTAGTAGAAAAAAACTCCGAAGTAAATTTTTATGCAAATAAAGTATAGAGCCATATCCAATGTCAGGGGTCACTTAAAGGACCTGATCATCTCTTCATAATAAAGTTGAGATAAAGGTTAAATGCAATAGTACTAAGAAATACCCTCACTTTTCACTTGCTGGGTAAAAATCACTTATCTTTTTGAAATGCAAGTCATACCTTACTTTAAATCTCTTGAATGACACATGAACATTTTTAGCCCAGCTTTCAAGGCAATACAGTATCTGGCAGCTACCTGCACTACCAGCTTCATATGTACTTTGCACTCTTTGCTCTCTAGACTCCAGCCATATCAGCTTAAAAATTTTTCAATTGCACCAAGCTTATTCCTACTCCAAGCCTTTGTACGTATTTTCTTACTTTTCCTCCCCATGCCTGTTTTCAGGAAAGCCTTCTCCATGCCCCATATACACACAAGTGCCTTCTTTGAGATCATTAATTGTGCATTGGTTCACAATGTTTAGTTCCTCCACCAAATGGTAAATTGTTCAAGATAAAGGATCCCATCTTTCCCCAGGGCCTGCCTAACATAGGGCTTTCTAGAGATAAGACGTCTGAGTCACATAAGTGAATGGATATCAAGGAGTCAGAAACTCCTGTTTTTATTCTGTTGAAGGACATCCTTAACTTTGTTAAGAAAAGTATTTTCTCCTATGAATTATTTAAAATTTCACTAAATGCAGTAGAACTACCTAAAAGGAACATGTCGGGGCCTTTCCGCATAGAGATGATTTCTTTGTTAAGCAGTAACAATTGCTTACAAAACCTTTAGAGTGATTAACTTTCAAGACAGAAATTAGCATTCCACTTTCAAGATGATGTTTTGGCTATTTGATGAACTAATAGTTAATCGTAAGCATTTTAAGAATCCAAAAACAACATTAAACTTGACAAAGTGGCTTTAGGAATAGAAATTTCATGCCAGAAAAAAATGGCACAGGAATCTCATGCCAGAAAAACATCTCCCAATGTGGAGACATTTGGGAGACAGGCAATTTCAACCTTACTCTACATGTAGGGCTTCCTTAAGCTGAAGATCTATAAAACCACCTCATTACATGGAGAAGAATATTAAAGTCAGCGAGGTTAAGCAAGTTGCTCAAAGTCTCACAGCTAATGTGTAATGTTGGGACAAAAAGTTTTTTCTCACCTAACCCTAATCCCACAGATTCTGTAGTTTTCATATTATTCCTAAACACCCAGTGTTCTGTAGAGGAGCCACCTTCTAGAAGGATGAAGAAGCCTAGCTCCAACCTCTACTTCAGCTGGACCAGTCAGTTCTATCTGGAGTTATACATAAGATGTTGTTTCTGGTGGGGCTTGGGGGGTGGGGGTGGGGGGGGGAGCCTGAAAACCAGTAGTCAACCTCTTAAAATTATCAGTCTGCACCAGTAAAGCAGGTTTTCTGTTTGTAGTGACTCTTTATGCCTTTGTCACGTGCCACTAAGCTCAGCCCAGCTTCTGGCTAAACTACAGGGAGCAAAAACAGAGCCCATCTAACCTTTTTCGGCTCCTTCTTCTTGCTTTTTTGCCTCCTCTTCAATGACCTTCATCTTTGCATCATACTCATCAGCTAGAGATTTCCATTCTACTCTGTTATTCTGAAGACCACTCAGCATAGGTGTGATTTCTTTGTGAAACCGTGAGAACTCCTAAAGAGAATTTTAGGTCAGAAACTACATAAATCATACAGTTAATTTTCAGGATCTTTCAGATGCAGAGAATGAGCTGTAAGGAATTGTTACAGCACTCAGAGCTGCTAGGATAAGTTTAACCCCGGGCCTGTGAAGTTTGGGGAAGAGACAGGTGATGTCTTTCCTGCCTGCCTAACGAAGTGTTCAATTTGCTCACATCTGAGTTCTCTCCTTTTATTCCAGCCCTTAGGGTAAAACCTCAAACTGCTTTGGAGAAACAATGACACCCCTGATGGCTTTCCATATGGGTGACTTTTAAATTTTGGTGACAGTTTGAAAGAAAAATTTTCATCCAAATGTTTATATATTTAATTCAAATAATTTGCTTACTTACCTTATATACAAAAGTACAAACAAAATCAATAAATCCAACTTGAAGTTTAGGTAGTTCATCTCTCTTGTTTCTGTCCATCATAGGCTAGAAAGAGAAATAAATCCTTTTAAGACAGGTTTCTAAGATGTAGTGAACAAAACAAACTGATTTGTCCTGATAACTTTTGTTTTTGTTTTTGTTTTTGAGACAGAGTCTTACTCTGTCTCCAAACTGGAGTGCAGTGGCACGATCTCAGCTCACTACAACCTTTGCTTCCCAGGTTCAGGCGATTCTCCTGTCTCAGCCTGCCGAGTAGCTGGGACTACAGGCACGTACCACCATGGCCAGCTAATTTTGTATTTTTAGTAGAAACGGGGTTTCACCATGTTGGCCAGGATGGTCTCAATCTCTTGACCTCATGATCCGCCCACCTCGGCCTCCCAAAGTGCTGGGATTACAGGCATGAGCCACCAAGCCCGGCCTGTCCTGATAACTTTTAATAAGTAATGCATTTTTATGTCAAGGTCTTACAATGGGTTGTTGCTGCAATACTGTTCTCTCCAGATCTCCTTGTTCCCAAAATTCATTTGCAACCATAAGTGCTACCTGCAAATGAGAAAGGCTTGGTTCACTAAATCCACTTATGAATAGAGAACTTGAATTATATTAGTACAAGTGACATTTAAGGATCAAGTTTACAGTCAGTGCTTGAGGCGCTATCAAACCATATGCTCTTAAGTTTTAAAAAGAGGTCATTTACAGATTATATTGAAATGGGAAAGGGGAGCTTTTTCTTCCTACTTCAGTGTTCTAGGCTTATTCTGGGAGTATCTATCTCCCATTTACTATTGCCGCCACTTCTCACCAATGAAAAGGAGAAATAGGAGGATTAAATATTATGCTTTAAGTTCTAATGCTTCCCAAGTTCTTCTTTGTCCTGTTAGCATCTAGTATATATCTGTGAATGCACATGTGACATACACCCATTAGTATGTAGCTTTACCTAATTACAGTGTGAGGATATTCCAGCATTAATTTATATCACTAAAAAAAAAATTTATCAAGTTCATTGAACACCTGCTAGCTGCCTTTACATTGGCATGATCCAGGCTTGCCAAGAGGAATATGGCATGATCTTTTTCTTTAAAATGTTCACAGTCTAGTGAAGACAGTCATGTATACAATGTGGTTAAGTGCTATAACAGTAATAGTGTAAGTGCTATGGGCCAGGGAGAAGGGAGTAAAGATAAGTTTCATGAAGGAAGGAGGTAGCATTTATGTTGTATTGTCAAGAATAAGAGTAGTTTTCCAGGAAAAGAGGAGGGGAAGAATATTTGCAGAGATAAAATGGAACGTACAAAGCTTCCGTGAGTACAGTGTGAAGCAATGACATGGGAGAAGGTGATGGGAAATGATTCTGGGGGTGTGAGTTAAGGACAGGCAGTGACAGGCCATGTAAATTTTGCCGGGAAGCTTGAATTTGATTCTCTAGGCCATTGCTCTTTACTCCTGGAGCCTAGGGTTCCTCTGAAGTGCTCTAGGACCCAAGAAGGTGGAGGCCAAGAGAGATGAAAGCTAAAGTAGCTTTGCTTTTTTCTCTTTTATAAAGTGATCTTTGGGCAAGTTTTGTTGGGAGAAAACAGACTTGACTTCTTTGGAGAAAAAAAAGTTGGAAACCTCTGGCAATGGGGAGTATGAGGCTTTTAAGGAGTAGAATGGCTGAGTTGAGCTCTGTGTAGAGACATGGCAGCAAGTCAGAGGATGAGTTGTGGAGTTGATGTGAGGATCTATTAGGAGGCTGCCACCACAGTTCTGATAAAAGTCTGAACTGAGGTAGTAGCAAGGGTGATAGAAATGATTTTGAAATGAGGGAGATAAGCTCAAGCAAGACCTCAGGTTTCTAGCTTAGGTGACCACATCAATAAAGAACAGAGGAAGAAGAGCAGGCATGTCGAGGTGGAAGGAGAGGAAAGTGTTTAGCTTTGGACTTGATGGTGACGGAGTTCAGGACACCCTGCCCCAAAATATTTTAAGATGATGGAATTTGAGGAAACGAAAGCAGCAGGAAGATCAGTCTCACCTTCTCCCCACCTTCTCCCCTGAAGTAGGTCATAAAACCAGGTAAGGATTTTCTGACCTTCCCCTGAAGCAGATAATAAGACCTTCATTCAAGAGGTGCCCTCCCTATTCCTGGAGGAAAGGAGCCAGAGACACAAAGATGCCAAGAAGAATCTGAACAAATTGTCCTTGCTAAGCTGCCCCGTGATTAGATCATACCCTCTTTGTTGAATTCAATTTCTCCGTGACTATCTACTTCATCCAACCTAGCATAAAATATACAAGTTTAACTGTTCCTTAGGGTCTTTGTTTTCTTAGGAAGGCTCCTGTATTACATGTAAAACAAATAAATGTGTATGCTTTTCTCTTGTTAATCTGTCTTTTGTTATAGGGGCCTCAGTCATGAACCTAGGATGGGTGAGAAATAGGTATTTTTTCTCCCCTACAATGAGTTCCAATTATTCTATCTTTTTAAAAAGATACAACCCACTTTAATAGTTAAACCCATTTAATTCTGGGCTCTCTTCTGCTTAGGGGTTTCCCTAGAAATTATTGGAGGAAAAAGAGATTTTTATCATCCAATTAGTAAGAAAGCAAGTGGTAGACTAGTGCCTCCCCAAGGTGGGGGAAAAACTTCTGTGGAAAGCAACCTTAGACATCATGTCACAGCCAGTGCCGCCTTATAATTCACAGCACATTGAAGAATAGTCTGTGGGAGCAAAAACACCCTTGATAGAGGAAAACACTAACGATGCATCCTGATCTTGTTCTGACATCTCATTGATACAGTTTGGCTATGTCCCCACACAAATCTCATCTTGAATTGTAGTTCCCATAATTCGCAATTCATGGGAAGGACCCAGTGGGAGGGACCCAGTGGGAGGTGATTGAATCATGGGGGCAAATCTTTCCCTTGCTGTTCTAGTGATATTAAGTAAGTCTCACAAGATCTGATGGTTTTATAAAGGGGAGTTCCCCTGCATACGCTATCTCTTACCTGCCACCACATAAGACATCCCTTTGCTCTTCCTTCATCTTCCACCATGATTGTGAGGCCTTCCCAGCCATGTGGAACTGTGAGTACATTAAAACTCTTTCCTTTATAAATTACCAGTCTTGGGTATGTCTATTAGCAGCAGCATGAGAACAGGCTAATACACTCCTCTATTTAAAAACTCAGACATTTCTTGGATAATTTTATATAAATTGTTTACAGTGTTTCAGTGTTAAAGAATTCTTTCAAGAAAGCATTTTCCTTCCAAAGTTCCTTCTATTTGCCTTATTCCAGGGCCTAATCAAATTGCCTACTGTCTCACTAATGTTTATAATTTTTCAGAATTCTGAGGTTGCCTAAGATTTTTAGGTAGACATTTACATGGGACCTAGGCAGTACCTGACAGTGTGACAGAAAAGAAAACTTAACTGGACTCACCTGACTTTGTACTTCCCAGGGCTTGGTGATAGCAGACAAGTCACATGCAGTCATCATCATTGCCCTTAGGAAGAAAACAAAAAATTTTAAACTAGAAATAAGTACGAAATAAGTTATTTTTATTAAAAAACAGGAGAGAAATACAATTTTAACTACCTACATGATAATCTCTTTTTTGGTTGGATCAACAGTTACATATTTGATGGCTTCTTCCTCCGTTTGCATTTGTTCACAGGCATCAACAATTTTTTGAAACATGGTTCTCTTCCTAGAAAAGATACGGCTGTGAGCAACAATTTTAGCATATGAAAACAGAGAAAAAAAATACCTTAAATACATGCTTTTCAGATTTCATGTTCCCACTTTGCATTGTCATGTCCACATAGCAAAGTCTACAGGGCCAGAAGATAAGAGAGCAGAGAATGGTGGTATAACTTTGGCTCAGAAACGGCTTAAGGCAGAAAAAGCACAAACCATAAAGAGAGGGGGAAAAAAAAAAAAAAACAGGTAACTGGGAATACATTACAACGAAAAAGTTACATATAAGGCCAGGTGCAGTGGCTCACATCTGTAATCCCAGCACCTTGGGAGACCAAGGTGGGAGGATTGCTTGAAGCCGGGAGTTTTAAACCAGCCTGGGCAATAAAGCAAGACCCTGTCTCTTTAAAAATGAAAGTAAATTTAAAAATTACATATGATAAAGGAGACCATAACCTAAAAATAAAGACCCCAAACTGTGAGAAGATACCACAACAAATAGCCAACAAAAAGTTGGAACCCAAAACACATGGATATTCAGCTGGTCTCAGTGCTTATCAAGAAACTACAAATTTGAACAATAAGCTATTATCTCACATTGATTATATTAGCAAAATAAATTTCAAATGTGCTGAGTTCAAGAGTACTTCAGATACGGTATTTTTCTCTTCTTTTTTCTTTCTTTTTTTTTTGAAACAGAGTCTTGCTCTCCCACTCAGGCTGGAGTGGAGTGGCTTGATCCTAGCTCACTGGAGCCTTGAACTCCTAGGCTTAAGGGATCCTCCCACTTCAGCCTCCCAAGTAGCTGGGACTACAGGCATGCTCCACCATGCCTGGCTAATTTTTTAATTTTTTTGTAGAGACAGGGTGTTGCTATGTTGCCCAGGCTGGTCTCAAATTCCTGGCCTCAAATGATCCTCCTGCCTTGGCCTCCCAAAGTGCTGAGATTACAGGCATGAGCCACCTCACTTGGCTGGAACTCTTGTACACGTGGGTGGGAGTGCTAACTGGCACAACTCAGGAGTGCAGTTTTGTAATGTAGCATGAATTGAAGACATGCAAACCCTATAGCATTCTCACTTTTACATTTCTTAGAGAAACTCCCATATATATACAGGGACATACAAGGCAGCATTGTAGGTAATGATGAAAAAATAGAAACAATTAAAATGTCTATGAATAGAAGAGTGGGTAAATTATGAATATTCAAGGGTTGAATATTCAGTTAAAATGGATGCATTGGAGCTCCATTTATTATCAATGATAAGTCTTTGAAACACAATGTTGCATGAATAAAGCAAGTTGCAGAAAGGTATGTACAGACAGTACACTTAATGGACAATTTGAAAACAACAGGTCGGGCAAGGTGGCTTACGCCTGTAATCCCAACATTTTGGGAGGCCAAGGTGGGTGGATCACGAGGTCAGGAGATCGAGACCATCCTGGCCAACATGGTGAAACCCCGTCTCTAGTAAAATACAAAAAAAAAAAAAAAATTAGCCAGGCGTGGTGGCACGTGCCTGTAGTCCCAGCTACTTAGGAGGCTGAGGCAGGAGAATCACTTGAACCCGGGAGGCAGAGGTTACAGTAAGCCGAGATTGCGCCACTGCAATCCAGCCTGGTGACAGAGTGAGACTCCATCTCAAAAAAACCAAGAAACCAAACAAACACACAACAATACCATATAAAAACGTGGATGGAAATGGTGAATACACATCAACGTCAGATGGTGATATCTTTGTGGAAGAAGGGAAGGGGTTTTTCATAGTGGAGTAGGTGTGGAATGCCTCAATTGCATCACTAGTTTTTTTCTCCTTATAAAGCAAAATCTGAGGCAAATATGGCAAAATTTAGCATTTGTTATATCTGGGCTATGGATATTTGGATATCCATTTTATTCTTCTTAGTATTTGTCTTCACGTTGAACTATTTAATAATTAAATATTCAGGCCCAGTGCAATGGCTCACGCCTGTAATCCCAGCACTTTGGGAGGGCAAGGTGGGCAAATCACTTGAGGTCAGGAGTTTGAGACCAGCCTGGCCAACATGGTGAAACCCATCTCTACTAAAAATACAAAAATTAGCCAGACATGGTGGTGGGAGCCTGAAGTCCCAGCTACTCAAGAGGCTGAGGCAGGAGAATTGCTGGAACCTGGGAGGCCGAGGTTGCAGTGACCCAAGGTGGTGCCACTGCACTCCAGCCCAGGTGACAGAGTGAGACCTGTATAATAATATATATAATAATTATTATTATTATTATTTAATGAAGAAGGATCAGAAAGGCATAATTTGACAATGCCCAAGCCACTGAATATTTGGATCCTATAACTAGTTCATCTTGTTCTAATCTGTTTTCACCAAGCAACTTTATAGTTCACTTATGAGAAAATGTGGAGATACTGAGTATCTGGTCTCCTTGGCAATATTACTGTTGTAAATAGGCTGGCTCTCTGCTATGTATGACTCAGTTTTGTAAGTTTGGTTAATGTGTGTCAATGCCACCAAAATTTTTCAGCTCCCAGACTTTGACAGAATTAAATTTCTGAGCCCGAAACATTAAAATACCAGATTCTGGACCATAGAGAATTCATCTAGACAAAAAGCCACCTTGAGAGGTCTCTTGGCTTCACTCTTTTGGCAAGGCACAAACTTGGCTGCATATTCTTCAATTCAAACTTCTTCAGCTAGCAACCTACTTAATATTAGGAGCTTATGTTTTTAAAATGTGTTCCTGGATGTCTAGTAAGTTTACCGGCAGGCATCTGTCTTGAAGATACTCTACTTGGTAATCCAAAAGGAAAGCAAATGTGTGTGTGTGTGTGTCTGTGCATGTGTGTTTGAATAAATGCCTTTTAACATTAATGCAACAGATAACTTATGGAAGGCAAAACCACACAGAGTATAGGGCATTCCACTGTGCAGAGTTATGTACTTACTTGAAATATAAAGCCAGGTCAGTTGCTATTATTGCGACCTCGAACAAATGAATAACTGTTTCAAACTGCCGCTTATTTAGGTTCTGGAAGATGTTTAAACTCTGTAAGGTGAAAATTCACAATAAAATGCAATCAATAATTTGCTTCTGATTGAACAAACGAAACTATGCTTAACAAGAAGAAAAATCTAAAAGCCTTTCAACACTTTTTTGTTTGGTTGGTTTTTTGTTTTCCTGGTTTTTTTTTTTTTTTTTTGGTTTGCTTTTAGTTTTTATCTCATGGACTAAGTAAACCCCTCTACAGTACTTTGAGTAAGATAATTTAATTTAAACTATAAAAATAGATACTGTTAGCCAATATTCATGTCATCAGTATTTAAGTTTTTAGAGTAAATAAATGTTTTCTTCTAGGACCATTAAAATAAATAACAATAGATTTAAAATGTGCTTGTATTAATTGAGGAGCTTTAATAAAGAATTTCTGGGAGAAGTCCAACTGTCAGACATGTTACTTTATCTACCAGGTAATTTTAGAGTGATCATAGAAACCATTGGTCTTTCAGAAATTACAAATTACACTCATACTCATGTATATGTGGGAAAAAATAATGAAATCCTTCCATGTTATCCTTAAAATATTTTCATGCAATTCTATTTTACCAAGACTTAACTAGACCTTTCTTCAAAGAGTTTCTCTTTACCTCTCTTCACATATGGATCAGCTTCATTTCTTAGTGTTCTAGAAAATGAGAATTAGACCGAGCATGGTGGCTCATGTTTGTAATCCCAGCACTTTGGAAGGCTGAGGTGGGTAGATGGCTTGAGCTCAGGAGTTCAAGACCAGCCTGGGCAACATGGTAAGACTCCTGTCTCTACTAAAATTACAAAAATAGCTGGGTGTGGTGGTGTGTGTCTGGGGTCCCACCTATTCAGGAGGCCAAGGTGGAAGGATTGCTTAACCCTGGGAACTGGAGGTTGCAGTGAGCTGAGACTGTGCCACTGCACTCCAGCTTGGGTGACAGAGCGAGACCCTATTTCAAAAAACAAGACAGAAAGAAAATGAGAATATAAAGCTGGGGGTGGTTTCTTAAAGCCCAGTTATTCCAAATAGACCATTTTAGTCATACAGGCCAAATGACAGATATATAGTGATTTTGCCAAATTAATTTGACAGTTACAAGATAAGGAAACATTCCACTGGAAAGAAAGAGGAGATAGTCTTTCAATCTATATAAAGAGAGAAGTACCATAATGCCAAAAACAATACTGGCCTGAACACCAAATAATAACAGTAAACACTTCCTTAGTGCTTGCTACCTACCAGGCTCTAAGTGCTTTGTGAATATTCTTAATCTCTTCACAACAGACCCCAGCACAGAGAGGTGAAGTAACTTGCCCGAGGTTAAACAGCTAGAATGTGGCAGAACTGGTGTCTAAACCAGTGCAGCATGGTTCCAGAGTTTGTGCTCCTAATCTCTGCACCACACTACATTACCGCTCAACAGGGAACCCAGGTTCATTTCCTGGCTTCCCCACTTTGGCAGTCGTATAATCCTAGAGACTTAACATCCGTGAGCATTTGTTTTCCATATAGGCATAATAACAGCTGCCCTGCCTAACTGCCTAGCACTTAGTCTATGCTCAGTTAATATCTGTGGAATGCTGAATCAAATGAAATGACAACTGGGAATGCATTTTAAAACTGTAAATTGCTGTTAAAATGTATTGTTGTATCATTATTATGTAAAGTCGTGAGGTTAGCTCCAGGTAAAAATAGAATTGCAAACCTAACACCAAATATGGCTATCAGTCATTTCAGAAGATTGAAATATTAGAAAGCAATAATTGGACAAGAACTCAAGTTTTAGACACTACACTGTGCCTTATATAACTCTTCACTTAAGTCATCTTTTTATAACATTTTCTAGGACAAGAAAAGTGGTGTTTTACAAAGCATACATAAGTAATAAAAAAATTGTGATTTGTTTTGTCAACATAATGAGTTCACCATAGCAACTAAACTTTTAAAATAGCTAGAATGAAACAATGGGTGTGGACCAGTTTAAATTACAATAAACAAATCAAAATCAATGTTTTTGTTTTTGTTTTTGTTTTGAGATGGAGTCTCACTCTGTCACCCAGGCTAGAGTGCAGTGCCACAATCTCAGCTCACTGTAGCCTCTGCCTCCTAGGTTCAAGCAATTCTCCTGCTTCAGCCTCCCGAATAGCTGGGATTACAGGCACCCACCACCACGCCCAGCTAATTTTTGTATTTTTTAGTAGAGATGGGTTTTCACCATGTTGGCCAGGCTGGTCTCAAACTCCTGATCTCAAGGGATCCGCGCATCTCGGCCTCCCAAAGTGCTGGGATTACAGGCGTGAGCCACCGTGCGCAGCCCGAAAATCAATTTCTTACTTGGGACATTTCACAGAAGCCTATTGGACATATCAGTCCAGAATCTCTGAACCAAATCTGGATACAGGTTCTTTTCAACCTGGTCTGGATTACCAGGGAGGGGAAAAGTAAGTGGGGCCATTTTGATCCCACTTAACCTGCCCCTGATTTTGGAACAATGATGGTCTTCCCTTTGGACTTGGGGTGATCCAGTGGCATACTGACATCAGGGAATCACTTTATTTGTTCACTGATGAACTCATTGCTATGTTCCCAAAGTAATGTTTATTATGTGACTCAGGTACATGCTTGGCAAATTAATAATAGTTAAAGCCAACCTTGATTGCTATACTAGGAAAAAAAGTAGGGGAGGGGGGGAATGTGTGAAAATGCATTAAACTTTTAGACAAGTTAACATTTATAGCACATTAAATCATTTTAACAAGCAAAACAGACTGCTGAATTCAAAGAAATAATTCCTTGGGACGGAGACTTCCTCGTCTCTACCAAGTGTCAGATTGTGCAGAGTATATAATCTACAACCAACCAAATAAATCAAATTTATTATGCACCAGTTGTTTTAGTGCATATTGCTTAATTTGTAAACCTGGACACTTGTTGCTATTTAATAAATGTGAAAGAAAAAGCTATATATAAAGAAATACATAGAAACATATGTGACAAATACTGTTTATTATACCTTTTTCTAATCCAAAATAATAAAACAGCTGTATTAAAGTTGACAGATTATCAAAAATTCTCTTACTTTTCAAAATGAGTCAATACTGGATTTTTAAAAATTGATATAATGAAGCAAAAGGGTTTATAGTCACCATTTCAGCACCGCTTCCTTTGTATATAGCACTACGTATCTGCATTTCATTCATATCTTTTTCTTCTCACTCATTTTCATTTTTATCTAAAAACGTGTACAAGGCTCCTAATTGAAAAACTCTTTCTTAATTCTACATTCTTTTAGATTTTCTCTGTTCTCCCTTTCACACCTGAGGTTCTTGAAAGAAGAGCTTCTAATTGACTTATTAAGTTGCGGATATAGATTCATATAAAAGATCCCATTCCTGTTTTTGTGTTAGTTGCTAGAAAGCACTTGGCCAAATTTGTGGCCTATGTCTGATAAACGTTTTGGCCAAATTTGTGGCCCATGTCTGATAAATACAATAAGGTACATTTATGTACCTTATGATATATATTTTGGGTATGTATGGCCTCTACTATGCTTCATCTCATTTTTATTTTTCTATTAGTCCTCATTTTCTTTAGTATTGTATATATTCTTCGAAGCTCCATCAAATCCTCTTTGGAACAAAGTGGGACATACACACGCACACACACATGCACACACACACACATGCACACAAGTTGGTTTTTTTTTTTGTTGCTTAGTAAGTAAACACAGACTCAATGATCCTTTAATTAGAGCAAGAGGTCTCAAGATGTGCCCAGCACACAGGAGAAGCAAGGAAGTCTTTTCAAGACCTACTTTGACAACTCAAAACAACAGTGGAAGAGAAGTAGATGGAGAAGTTATGCTGATGTACATTTGTATTGACTTCTGATATTCAATCTCCTAGACCAAAGAGATTGCCATAGGTAACAAGAAGTGAAGGAGGGAAGGCAGACAGCAATGAGCAGATCCCAAATAGAGGACCTGGAGCTTCACGGGCTTCACTCAATATGAGCTTTACCAACTTCCAGAAAACAAAATCAAAGAGGTGTTGATATGGCTGTGTGTCCCCACCCAAATCTCATCTTGAATTGTAATCCCCAGGTGTTGAGGGAGGAACCTGGAAGGAGGTGATTGGATCATGAGGGCAGTTCCCCCACGCTGTTCTTGTGATAGTGAGAGAGTTCTCACAAGAGCTGATGGTTTTAAGTGTGCCACTTCCTCGCTCTTTCTCACACACTCTTGCCTGCCACCATGTAAGACATGCCTTGCTTCCCCTTACCCTTCAGCCATGATTGTAAGTTTCCTGAGGCCTCCCCAGCAGTGCAGAACTGTGAGTCCATTAAACCTGTTATCTTTATAAATTACCCAGTCTCAGGTAGTATCTGTATAGCAGTGTGAAAACTGACTAATACAGGTGTGTTCCTTAGAATTGGTGAGAAAAGGTTTGAGCAACAAATTGGAAGCTGAGGATTTCCCCAGCTCATTCCTGCCCTTTCTCCACGGTACTCAGCAGATAGTTGGCTCCATTCAGGGATGAGTAATTTTCAGAGGGGAATAAGTGCAAAACCTATGTGTAAAATGACCACAAGAACACAAAATAATCCATAGAGCCAGTGCAATTCCAACCAGAATACCAACAAGTTTGTGTATGTGTGTTGGTAAATTGACAAATCAATTATAAAATTTATATGAAGATGTAGAGTCAAGTACTGGACTCAATTAAAAGTTAAATTAAAATAAACAGTAGTGGAAATTACAGAGCAAAATGTAATTTTATAAATATCAATAATGGTAAATAAAAAAATTAATACCACATAAAACATATGTGGGAAAAAGTATACCAATTCCTTCATATTTCGTAGAAGGGAATTAGTAGATACTGTAAAGTTAACACATATAGCTTAAAAATGTCAAACATCTAAATGCTCAGCTACAGCTTTTTGTAATTTTTTGTAGTCATTTGTTACTCATTTTAGAGGGCTCTTTAAGAGCTGACATTTCTTGTGATAAAGACACCATTATGTGAAGTTCTGCAATTTCTTCCATTTCAAAAACATTTCTTCTGTTAAATTCAAATAAAGTCAAATGCAATACCTTTTATTTAAGATAAAGAGATTCTACTTAGTAATGAAAAAGAATGAATTGGCTGGGCACAGTGGCTCACACCTGTAATCCCAGTGCTTTGGAAGGCCAAGGAGAGAGGATTGCTTCAGCCCAGGACTTCAAGACCAGCCTAGGCAACATAGCAAGAATGCATTTCTACGAAAAATACAAAAATTTAGCCAGGTATAGAGATTCATGTCTGTTGTCCCAGCTACTTGAGAGGCAGAGGTAAGAGGATTGCTTGAGCCCAGGAGGTTGAGGCTGCAGAGAGCTTTGACTGTGCCACAGCACTCCAGTCTGGGCAATAGCGCAAGACCCCATCTCTAAAAAATAGAATGAATCATGGATATACACAACATGAATAATCTAAAAATTATTATTCTGCATGAAAGAAACCCAACGCAAGAGTGTGATTGATTGCATAATTATTCTAGTATTGTGCTAATTGTATGATTGCACTTATATAAAATCTAGAAAATGCAAACTAATCCATAGCAACTGAAAACATTTCAATGGTTGCCACCTAGGGCTGGGAGTGGAGAGTGGGATGTGCTGTGAAGGGGCATGATATGAACAATTACTTGGGTGATACAAGTGTTCTGCATCTTGATTGTGGTGCTGATTTCCCAGGTATATAAATAGTCAAAACTCATGGAATTGGGCACTCTAGAGATGCAGTTTAGGCTAGGTGTGGTGACTCACGCCTGTAATCCCAGCACTTTGGGAGGCCAAGGTGGGTGGATCACCTGGGGTCAGGGGGTTCGAGAGCAGCCTGGCCAACATGGCAAAACTTTGCCTCTACTAAAAATACAAAAATTAACCGGTAATGGTGGTGCATGCCTGTAATCCCAGCTACTTGGGAGGCTGAGGTGCGAGAACCTCTTGAACCCAGGAGGCAGAGGTTGCAGTGAGTCGAGATCACGCTGCTGCACTCCAGCCTGGGCAACAGGGTGAGACTCCGTCTCAAAAATAAAATAAGAGATGCAGGTTATTGTACATATACTTCAATGAAGTCTATTAAAAACCAATTCTGACTTTAAAAAAATAGCTTGGGTAGTGGGATCACATTTTTCAAAAGTCCCTTCTCTCCATACTTCCTGTATATATCCACAGGGTGACTGCAATGAGGTTTATTAGATGTTAATGAAATATTGATTTCTGGATGGTAGGATTTGAAGCAATTTAAAAAATATTTGGCTTTGATGTTTTTCCTATTGTTTGAATTTTTATAGTGGGCCTGTGTAACTTTTGCAACTATTAATGAATATTGAAGACATATGTAAGTTAGTAAGATTCCATTTGTTTTTGAGCATTGTGTTGAAGACATTATGTGGAGACAGGTGCACCAGACGAGAAAGGAGACCTACTTCCCAGCCCCTGGCCACGGGCCCTGACTTGCTCAGCTGCTTTCATTTGCTCACAGAAAGAGTCTATTTTATTTTCCCTGACTATTAAAATGGCAATAGAAATATGAATTCTGCATAGCACACCCCAAACAGGTAGAAATGGCTTTAATTCATTCAGATTGTGGCTCTCGAGTTAGCTGAGGCCAGGGAAAGTACAGGCCGTTCTAATCTTCAGTGTGGTGCCTATGACGCCCACAAGAGAATATTGCCAACGTGTTCTTGCTTTGCTAGTGGCAGTACACAAGGTATTTGATTTCTCCTTCACATTTCTGTGTGTAAAATGGGGCAGACTGATGGGGTTAGTATGAAAAAGCATAAATAAAATTATCATACACTTTGGAAAGAGATGTTCTGAATAATAACAGGATTTTGTTATTTGTGCTGAGCAATATATTTTGTCATTTCTATAGTATATTCTAGTATTAAAATTTATACTCATGCAAATTCGGCTAACAAAGTTTCCACCCATTCATTCAGGTTAAAGCATTGATTTCTGTCTGGTTTAGAGTATAGGCAGTTCTGTTCCTCAAAGCAGTGGATCCATCTCTGCTGGGATAGAAGGACATTGCAGTTCAAAGCCTTATAATATGCAAAACAAAATGTCTGAGTAATGCCCACAAATGCTGAAATTACTGAATAAATCCCAAGGATTTCCCTTATTTAAAAAAATTAAAATTTTTAGTGTGTATATTTTCTTTAGACAGTGAAAAAAAATAGAAGGACTACTTTGTCTCCCCAAAATGTAAAAAGAATATCTGATAGTTAACAGTCTTTTTGTGTGTGTGTCCAAGTTGACTGCTCATAAACAGGCTGTGTGTGACTGCATTGCCTAGCGACTCTATTGACAAGGCTTTAAAAGTCTGCAATTAGCAGATTGAATGGTATTACAGAGAGGTCCTTGAAAAGATGGTATAGATTACTGAGATGCAATATTCCTCTTTAGAAAGAATAATAAGTCTTTATATAGCCATCAAAGCCAGTTCAGACTGCAAAGTAAATAACATTAAAATACTTCAGATGGAAAACTGTAACTCTACTCTAAACTGCAAAATCCCAGAAGGAAAAACATTTAAGATACTAGGAGCCTTCCAGTGTTAAGCATTTAGATATTTGGCTGCTGTTTTAAAACTGTATTTTGTTTTAGTAGGTAACTGTATGATTATGTGATACATGACATTTGACACTACCTCACTGTGGTATCAAATAAACAGTGAGATTTACAGAAAATTCTTACTCAGAAACCGAAGATTGTCCCAACCAGCAAAACAAAGACTTTTAACAAATTAGGTAATAACAATTTACTCTTACATTCCTGAGTTACTTTCAGTTCTGCTGCTGCTTTTAATTCTCATAGAACAGATGTTACCTATGCTGTGAATTCTGCTGCAGGGAGAGATTCTGTCTGCATATCAGAATTAAAAGCATTCTGGTTCACAATACAGATTTCCAGGCCCAAATTCCAGAAAATCTGGTCAGTAAGTGGAGAATGGGGCCCGGGATCTGTGTCTTAACAGCCTGCCTGCCCCTTCCCTGTTAAATGAATGAGTCTGAAAGAGTTGGTCCAGGTACCCATTTCTGAGAATCACCATCTGGACTCATACAAGGTTAGCGCTTTGCCAAGAGCATTGCAGAATTAGAAATGCCACAGCAGGTTTGGGATGGCAATGGTGTTGGGTGCTGTGTCAATCACAGATTGTTAAAACAATGCAAGCAGTTTTCTTGTTTTTCCATTTGTCTGCCCAGTTGCTCTGCCTTATGAGATTTTCCTGCTTGGCTTATGAGGACCATCTTGGATTTTCATTACCTAGAAGAATTTAGTATTCTCTCTAAACTTGGATATCTTTCTGTATATTCTCCCTGAGCTTTTAATAGAAGATTATTATTAAAACTGAGAAAAGCCCACTCTCCAGAGGGCTCATGTATCCTAATGAGCGTGTGATTCTAAACAAGTTCACTGCTTGTGACAAAACAGTGCTCCCCTCAATCTAATGACTCACCTTAATCATTTTTGGTTTGGAACATTCTTAAGAAAGTGTAATTAGACAACATCCACAACTTTCCACATGCCCATATATCCCTTCAATAAAATTGATCAAGGGAAGAAGAATGACTACCCTCTCTGGAAGATTAGTAGTACAGAACATGTGCAATTCACAATGAATTCAAAGGGCTCAGAGCCGCTCCTGCAGAAAGCCATCTCTGATCCCACCCTCTTTGCCCCTTTCTGCTGCCACAGTCTTCACACAAATGTGGTTTCTCCCTTTGAAACTCTCAGAGCATGGTTCAGTGCCTCTCTGATGGTGGCTAAGTCATGCCTACCTCCATGATATAGTTTGGATCTGTGTCCCCACCCAAACCCCATGTTCAGTTGTAATCCCCAATGTTGGAAGTGGGTCCTGGTGGGAGGTGATTGGATCTTGAGAGCGGTGTTTCATATGAATGGTTTAGCCCCATCCTCCTCGGTCACAATACTGAGTGAGTTCTCATGAGATCTGGTTGTTTAAAAGTGTGTGGTACCTCCCCGCCACCTCTCTTCCTTCTGCTCTGGCCATGTGAAGTGCTTGCTCTCCCTTCAGCTTCCACCATGATGCTAGGCTCCCTGAGGACTGCCCAGAGGTTAATGCTGCCATGCTTCCTGTACAGCCTGCAGAACCGTGAGCGAATTAAACCTCTTTTCTTTATAATTACCCAGTCTCAGGTATTTCTTCATAGCAATGCAAGAATGTGTGAATGCACTCCACTATGAAAGCTTGACTTTCTTAAAGGCATAGACCATGCCCTACAGCATATGCCCCATGAATGAATAAGAAAATCAGTGACCACGTTACCTCCTTTCCCCTTTACATTTATATATGCTTGGGGTGCACAGAGCCCTTTTGCATCCACCGTAAGCTTTTTCTTCTTTCCCTACAGACCCACAGAGATTCTGTGACTTTCCATGGCTCTCTTCACCTGTCTCAGCTACTTCCAACTTGGTTGTTCAAAAACTGTTTCAATATGGCAGTTTCTATCAATTGACTTCAATAAGGGTATACATTATCAACTGCTATAACTCAAGGCCACCCTTTTTCCAGGCATTTTCTGTGGGCTAGTGCTTTGATCCAGAACTTGTGTTTAACTGTCCTAAAGAGAGGTTTACGTACCTCATCCTGCAACAGAGTCTTACTGTACTCCAGGTGGTGCCTCTCCAAAATAGAAGAACCATGAAGTCTTGCTAATGGAGACGTGGATCTAGAAGGAAAACAATATGCCATGATTCTAGCTGTTTAAAAATTACACATAGGTTCCTATAATACAGAATCTTTATTGTTTCAGGATTTTTCTTAATGTCTGTCTTCTCCCTCCCCACTCAATTATCTAAGTGGTCAAAAATAACATATTGGAAAAGATTTTCTAGATTTAGAAGATGAGAATATGCTCTTTTGGAAAAAGAAAAAACCCTAATTTGTTGAATGCATAAATGATTGAATTGTTTAAATTAAGGAGTTCAGCTCCATGTATCTAAATTCTTTAAGTTCCCTGGGGCTTATGGCGGTGGACTATGACTTATAAAACGTATGGCAAACATGTGGAAGCCCATAAATTATCTGCATAGAACCAAGATGAAAAGCACTATAAGGTAACATTTCTCTCCTCCCCCAAGACAGTGACATAAATGTAAGCTTAGAGTTCCCATTTATTAACAATTAGATCACAGTTTGATATAAGTAGGGGTCCCAGTCTTTTGTACCCTGTTTTTCTTCAGTGCCTTCAGGGTAAAAGAGGCTGACATCAAAGGTCTAGAGATTACGTGAAACCTGCCTAGTAGGCACTTTCTCTAGTGGGTTCCACATATGTAATTTCATTTGATTCTCATAACAATCTTTGAGAGGTCAATACTTTATCCATCTCACAGCTAAGAAACTGAATCTCAAATAGATTAAATGACTTGTCCAAGATCCCCCAATCAGGAAGTAGTTGGTCCTCACAAACCCCAGACTCCAAAGACTATTCTGTCTACAACACTTCACTGCTTCTGGAGAGGGGTAGGTCATGTGTCAGAAATGAGAATGAAGTGTGGCTGAGGCAGATAGACCATCTTAAAACCCATTATCAAGAAGCTGGGCTGGCCACGAGCAATGCTGGTGAATGAAGAGTGCCAATGACATCATAACAATAATAGTAATCATAATGCCTAGTGCTTGTTGTTTGTTTGTTTGTTTGTTTGTTTTCTGAGACGGAGTCTTGCTCTGTCACCCAGGCTGGAGTGCAGGAGTGCAGTGGCGTGACCTCAGCTCACTTCAACCTCTGCCTCCTGAGTTCAAACAATTCTCCTGCCTCAGCCTCTCAAGTAGGTGAGATTACAGGCACACACCACATTGTCCGGCTAATTTTTGTATTTTTAGTAAAGATGGGGTTTCACCATGTTGACCAGGCTGGTCTCCAACTCCTGACCTCGTGATCTGCCCGCCTCAACCTCCCAAAGTGCTAGGATTATAGGCGTGAGCCACCATGCCCGGCAATCATACCTAATATTTATTAACTGCCAAGATCCTACCTTGAGTTGAGGGCTTTATATCCATGATCGCATTTAATCTTTACAACAACCTTATGTTCTGGGTACCATTATTATAATTCTTACTTCCCAGATGAGAAAATCGCAGCTTAGAAAGCTTAAATAACTTGTGACCCAGTGAATCCAAATCTGCCTGAGCCCAGAGCCTGTACCGTTCTTATTGTACTTCGTTTCTTGGGGCAAGAGAGAAAGATGGCATCAATGTTAAGATAGAAGACCAGCTGAAGGAGAGTTTGGTAGAAGCAAAAAGACCAGGGAAGTGAAGGGCAGTGAGCCCAGGGGTAGTGTCCTCTAGCCTGAGCTGGGGAGTACTCCATAGGAGTGTACAAATGTAAGCCTCGCATTCGTGTACCTTATGTATTTGTTTTTTATTTTTTATTTTTTTCAAGACAGAGTCTCGCTTTGTCGCTCCAGCTGGAGTGCAGTGGCGTAATCTTGGCTCACTACAACCTCCGCCTCCTGAGTTCAAGCATTTCTCCTACCTCAGCCTTCCAAGTAGCTGGGATTATAGACATGTGCCTATAATCCCAGGTGTGCCACACCTGGCTAATTGTTGTACTTTTAGTAGAGACAGGGTTTCGCCATGTTGGCCAGACTGCTCTTGAACTGACCTCAGGTGATCCGCCCACCTCACTCTCCCAAAGTGCTGGGATTACAGGCGCAAGCCACCGTGCCCAGCCAGATTCATGCACTTTAATACAGGAATTCAATACTCTGATTAAACAAAGTTGAGAGAAGAAAGCCTGAAGGCCTATAGGAAGAAGGCAGAGGCACATCTGGAAATGAAAACAGAAAGGAAAGGGAGATGCAAGCACCTAGGGAGAAAGAGCAATGTTATCGTGAAGGCAGAAGCTTGGGAGGGAATAGAACCCAGCCCTGGGATTTCCAAACATGGCAAAGAGGGATTGACTGGGCCAAGGAATAGGGAGAAGCATTTTTCTCACTCTAGGTACCTTCCAATGTCCACCAATACAGGTCAACATTGCACATGTGTTCACTTACTTCATCTGGTACAAATTATTAGTGCCTCTGTGGTCAATATCATGGCAGAAAGCAGCAGCAAGCATGGCAAAGGCTTCAAGATCCGTATAGTATTTCTTTAATCTTCCTGTCTAAAAAAAATAACATAAATACATATATCTATAATTTATTTGAATTAACATATCTCTATACCAAGTGCAGCAAGGCCTGCCTGCAGTAGAGAATAGGCCCACTAGTTTTTGGAGCAAGTTCACTTTATTTGTTGTGAGTATTGTAGCATTGTGGGTAATGACTGAGCTTTCCTTTAAGAAGGTAAGTATGTGAATGTCTGAGTGATCATCCCACCGATGCTCAAGGATACCCACGTTCCCTGGAACTCATCTGCAGCAGAGAGGGGTTTGTGCCCTGAATTTTTAAATTACTGATCTAAAATGATGGACCATACCTATTTCTCACCATGCTCAAATGGGAAATCTGCAGGTTTACAAGGATTTACAACCCTCTGCACCTACCATCAGCAAAGTAAACATGGTCTGTCCCACGTTGAACCCATGCCGCCAATTGTGGTAAGTGACAGCTCGGTACCCTTTCCTCACAGTGTACATCCATCTGGTAAGAACCTAAAAGAAGACGACACCATTCAGACTTTGGAATAGAATTCTAAAGGTTAGAAGGTCTGTGGCAATCTTATCTAAAAAGATGTGTTGGTCTTGTTGACAGGGGTTAAGCTGATGTATTTAGAAAGTTAATAATAATTTAAAATTCAAACTGAGTCCATCTTTTGAACCACAGAAAACATCAGTGAAGCAGAGCCACATAATCACATAGTATTTTAAATTAAATACCATCTGACCTCTACAGGTACTTTGAATTTCTCCACCACATTTATTTCAAAAAACAGTCGTATTCCACATTGAATCAATCCGTGCTCTGTAATGGGGAAGTCACTGAAGCGGAATTCGTACAGTTCTGCAGAGCGTGGGTCTGGCAAGTCCTCTTTCTGTTGAGATAAGGATGGATTGTTTCAGATTACATTCGTCTGTTTTCCCTTTCCACTCCCATAGCCAACATTGAGTGTAAACCAAAATTACAATAACACAATGTGTGATTCACTGAGCCACCATGTGCCAGGCACTGGATGATGCAGTTTGCACAGATTATCCTCACGGCAGTCCTACACAATTGTCTCCATATTACAGGTGATGAAACTGAGACTTGGCTATCTTAAAGACTTTCTAAGTGATGGGATACCATTCCAAATCCAACTCCAGTAGCTGTTTTCTTTCTATGCTGCAAAATAAAATGTTTAGTTACAAAAGCCTTACTCATTTTCAATACTCAACTTTTTATCTGTTCAGGAAATATTCAGTAAACAGTAAACGACTGCTTAATTCAATTCTTTTGAATTTTCTTTATGTGCTCAGTGACAGTTTTTCACTAGAATGTGAGCTCCCCGAGGGTGGGGATCATCTGCTTATTTGCTGCCATATCCCAAATCCGCAGGGCCAGTCCCATGCAGGTGCTTGGGAAATGCCTGTTGAATGAGTGGATGGATAAACCAATGATTGCCCTGCAGTACAAAGATATACTTGCAGACATTTCATTTAACTCACATCTGGTTAGGATTCCGGATTATGTGAAAAAGCAGTGAAGTAGACACATGGCATTGCTGCGACTTCAGAATTAAAAATATGGATCTTGCCCTTAAGGAACTTAACTTATTAAAGTGACTATAAAATATAGATGAGTGAAAAGTAAGCACTTAGAATAATCAGAGAGTATGGCCAGTGCTCCATGCTGAGGGATAAACTGAATGTCCTTGGACAGGTGGGGAAATTTTTAAATGAGGAGAGATGCTGGAGGGACATGCATGCAGCTGAGCTGGCAGAAGGAAGCGGAGAGATTCCATGTGGGTGAGAAAGTGCCAAGAGGCAGAAGTTAGCAACGACTATGTAGGTCTACCAGACAGACCTGCAGGAGCAATTCAGTTCAATGGGTATTTATTTGAATGTGTACTATGTCCTTACTAGCGCACTGAGGAGGACACAAACATAGGGAAAGGCAGGACACTCCCCTTTGTTAAGTTTAATGTTTTTCAGGGGACGGCCATGCTCTACACAGATTTCAACACCGAATGGTATATAGCTATTTAAAGCAAAATTATGGTTTCCAGTCCCCCCAGCCCCTGGGCCTGGGCTGGCCCCTCACACTCTTGCACAGAACTGTTGCTATACCCAGAAAATTGGCTGAGCCTTCCCTGGAGCTAACATTAAAGTGGAGGCCTGGAGAAAGACTCACGTACATGAAGATGGAAAAATAATTATGTAGCTGAGAAATGATGCCAGGATAATTTTGGAGAACTCCTCTGAAATATTTGTTACATTCCTCAATTTTATGCAGCAATGATATGGGATTTGCCCTGAGTAGATTTTACATTCAAAATAGGCTGTTTTTTTGTTGTTGTTTTGTTTTTTAGGAAGTCTACTAGTTCTTTGTCCACTTTATTGCTTCTACAACATGAGATCCTTCTTCCTTTATATAAGAAATTAGAGAATTTCTAGTGACACGGATGTCAGTGAATGTTTTGTTTTCCAAGAAGATGTCTGTTGTTGAGGGCAGGTGGGGAGAAGAAAGGGTGATCTTCTGGGCCAGGCTGAGAGGATGGTGCTCAAAGGGAGAGCCAAGCAAAATGGGAGAAAAGGAAACCTCAGATGACATGAAAACATGGGGGTGGGAAGTAAGCCCCGAAAAGGGGTCAAAGGCCAACAGTCCTAAGGTAGCAGAGCAAAGGCCCCGGGTGGGAGGACAGAGCCCATAAAAGATGGAAAGGGAGAAGGTGAGATAGTCGATGTGTCTTAGTTTAGAAAGAACACTCGCATCACAGATTGGAAAGAGACAGTGGAAAACAGGTTATAGCAGTTAGTAAGGAAATTAAGTGTGATCTTTCCATTTCAATCAGATGGAATTCAACCCTCTGAAATTCAAGGTCTGGGGGTCTTGGTAAGTATCCCAGGATTTCATGTGATTCCAGGAGCGCCACATTCTAGAAACAAGGGCTGCACCCTAATAGGAGGAATAAAACCAAAAAAGACCATCCCAGATGAAATCTAAAACAACTCTCTCATCTGCCGGAGGAAACTCTAACCCTCTTTGCAGAAGGATAATATCACTCAGAGCCCCTACAAGTTTTTATCTATAATATCTGATTTTTTATTTTAAAAGCATGAGGCATGCTTTAAAACAGGATCAAATGACTAGAACCCAGGTGTAAAAATGAACAGTAAAATCAGATCTATAGGTGATTCTGGTATTAAGATGAGTACCTTAAAATAATACACACCAATACGTTTTTTAAAATACAGGGAAAAATAGTCAAAATAGATCAAATGATGAAAAGTTTTAACACAGAGTTAGAACCTTAACAAAAGAATTAAAAGTACCTTCTAGAACTGAAAAAAAATCTCTGAAATTAAGAATTTATTGAGCGAGTTTAACAGTTGATTGGACACAACAAAAGACAGAATTAGTGAAGTGGGAAAGTTAATTTCAACCAGAAATAATAGGGATGGCCTACTGGCAACAACAGGAAAGAATGGAGCCTTCAGACTCCAGAAGAGAAGCTAGAAATGGCAGGGGGTGCCAGTGCCTAGAAGGATCCATGCTCCATGCTAACTCTGTCATGTCCTCTGGGGTGGCCATGGTGTCATCCAAAGCTATTAAACTGTGCCTTGATATCCCTACATTCTGTGCCTGAAGTCCCGTAAGCAGTAGTCTAGCCTAGCTGCAATTGTAAATTATCTGTGGGAATTGGACCAGAGGCGACAAAGATGAAGAAAAGCAGGGAATCAAAAGGTCAATCTTCAGAAGAATTCTTTCTTTTTAGCCTTGAGAAATATCAGGAAAGAGAAAACTCAATATTTACTTGAAAAACAAGAAAGCATGTCCTAATATATTATTGATTTCTATATTATCTATTTAACAGGCATTAAGGTTAGAAAGAAAACACTTACCAAAATTGCAACAAGTTGTTTTTCTTCACAGTCGTCAATTACATCAACATTTAACTTCTCTTGAAATTTCTAAAATGTAAAAGCAATTGAGGTGTGAAATTCCTAAAGGAGAAGATTTCCATCTGATTCCTCTACTATTACAATCTTAGTTAAGATATCTTTAAAATATGCAGGAGGAAGAGGCTGGACAGATCCCTGGAGCCCAGGAGTTGCAGGATGCAGTGAGCTGTGATGGCACCACTGCACTCCAGCCTGGGTGAGAGAGTGAGACCCCATCTCTAAAAATAAGTAAATAAATAAAATATACTACAATGAGTTCCATGGCAAAGATGCATTCTTTGTCATAGATACAAAGACCTACAGCACCTGATTATGAAGATTTTTTTTCAAGAAATAATCTATTTGATTTTTAAAATTCCCTCAAAATGGTTACAGTAACGGTTTTTTTTTAAAGAGGTGTGGGTTGTTTGCACGTAGAAAGAGCAAATGAGTGGTTTACATTTATTTTTCCATTAGCTTATCACAGTTCCCTTTATTCCCCCCAGATCTTCTCATCTTTAACATCTCAAACTCTCAAACTGAGTTACACTCAAACCAGTCTGCAAAACCAAAAACCAACACGCTCACCAAAAACAACCCACTCCAGCAAAACCACACACATGTGCGCGCGCGCACACACACACACACACACACACACACACACAAAGCCAGGGAAATAAAAGAAATAGAGATGGTGGGCACATGATATTTTTCCCTTCATTTTGTGGTGATTAGAACATGGTTAGCAAATATCCACTTGCTCCCCCATCATCTATAAGGTTGGTCTTCGTAATGTGACTTTCTTTGACCAGTGAGCATTTTGGTGAATGTGATGTGAGCGAAAACTGGAAGTATGCCTGCACAATTGGGCTTGCTCTCTTGCACTTCTGTCATCTCTGTGAGAAGGACATCTATCAGGTAGCTCCTGGTCCAAAAAGGATGAGAGATACATAGAGCAAACCAAATTCACAGCTTGGAGCCAAGTCCAGCCACTGTCAATCAAAGCCTGGTCAACCCACAAATGTGAGTGAGAGATAGAGGTTCATTACTGCATGCCACTGAGGTGTCAGGGTTGTTGTTATGCAGCATTATATGACAATAGCTGACTGATACATTTCCCTTCCTAAAATATATTTTTTTTCTTGCTACAGCTCCCATAGCCCCAGGGCTATTTTGAATGAAGTGCTATTCCAGTCAAGCAGCTGTACTTCCAGTAAGGGTCTCTGTACACTGGGCCATCCATGTCTTCTTCCAACCCCTCCTTCACTGTCTCTCTCTCCCAGTCCAGGAGTAAACCATTCGCATTTGTCAGACCCATGGGTAATTAGATGACTTCTAGAATATGTGGTTAGGTAACACCTTATGTCCACAGGACTGAATTTCTCACTTACCAAAATGGACTTAATTTCTTCAGGAGTGGCTTTGGTTTGGTTCATGAGCATTTCCTGAGCAATGTCCTTTCTGTTTTCTAGCTTATTCATCTTATCATAGGTGTCAGTATTTAAAAGAGACCATCCAAGAAATTGTGTGAGAGTCTGAAACAGATAAAAGGTGATTCTAATTCTGTTCAGTTAAAGCAAAATTGGTTTGGAGGCAACAATCTGCATGCTTTTCTGTCAATCTCCCTTCCATCATTAACCACCCTGTTCCTTCTTTTAATTTAAGAAAAACATACTAATAATCAGCTTCAGACAATAAAACTGGCCGAGTTATTGCTTTTTAAAGTGTACCATGTACCATGAATACTTCATTAGAAGAGAGAGGGGTTACCAACACCAGTATAATCAAGCAGGACCTAAAAATTAGGCAGGGTGCTGGGAGTAAGAATAAGAATGAGAGGCAGTGGGAAGGAGGAGTGGGAGAAAGAAGAGGAAAATCGTCTTTCCCGTTTTCCGAGTATTATAACAAATTTTGTTTAAGCTAAAATTTTGTACTTTGGTAGAATATGTTGCAGTTTATAGAAGTCAGGAAATAGAAACGACAAAATAACAGCGTATTGTTTATAGCTATGTGTGACTCATGTCTTAATGGCCCTTCAAAATATCATTCCAGAATAACAAATAATGATGCGCCCTCTCGTATTTTGTGAATTGCATTGACTTCCATTATCTTATGATTGCACTTACCTCAGTAATGTATTCATCATGCTCATCGAAAGGTTTTCCATCCTTCCTGTTGTAAAATGTAGCCACTCCCACAATATCTTCTTTCTTGTTGACAATAGGCAACGACAAAACATTCTTAATGACCCAGCCGGTTTCATCTACAGGTCCTTTCTACAAATGAGAAGGGACCTCAAGTTATTTTTTTTTTTGCCTTTTATTTTGAAATAATCATAGATTCACAGGATATTACAAAAGAAATGTACAGAGAGATTTCAGGTATCCTTCACCCAGTTTCACACAATAGTAACGATGGTTAGACAACTATAGTACATTTTCTACTGTCTTGTGTAACTATAGTACAATATCAAAAACAGAAAACAGACATTGTACAATCCAGAGCTGATTTGGATTTTACCAGATTTGTATGCACTTACTTGTACATGTATGTGTGTGTACATATAGTTTTATGCAAATTTATCCCTTGTGTAGATTTTCAACCACCGTTAGAATCAAGATACAACACTATTCCATCACTGCAAGACTCCCCTGTACTCCTCCATTCTAGCTACCACCCAACCACTTGCCACTTAGTTTATTTTTAATTTAAAGAAAGAGGCTGGGCACAGTGGTTGGAGCCTGTAATCTCAGCACTTTGGGAGGCCAAGGCAGGTGGATCACCTGAGGTCAGGAGCTGGAGCCAAGCCTGGTCAACATGGTGAAACCCCATCTCTACTAAAAATACAAAAATTAGCCAGGCATGATGGCGGGCACCTGTAATCCCAGCTACTCGGGAGGCTGAGGCAGGAAAATCGCTTGAACCCAGGAGACAGAGGCTGAAGTGAGCCGATATCATGCCACTGCACTCCAACCTGGGCAGCAGAATGAAATTCCGTCTCAAAAAAAAAAAAAAGGAAGAATAATCTTTCGGTGTTAGATGTGCAATTCCTACTTTGTGTCAGAACATTGCTAGGGCCATTATATGTACTCTAGCACATCCAATAGAGTGAACTAGAACCGAGTGTCTGGTTTCTGACAATTCTAACCTTTTCCCTTTCTTGCCCAAGCCTGAGGGATGGGAAGTGCTTCTTACCACTATGTTACCTCACTTTTCCCTTTACACTTTTTCTATCCTCCAACACTTGTTTGGCTAATTCCTTATATAAAATTCTCCTGTTGAAATGCTAGTGTGGTTTTTATTTTTCTGACTGATCCATGAAGATAGTCTTTCATTCTGTGGTGTGTTGAGTTGAGTAAACATTTGTCAAGCCTCTATGGTATGCCAGGAACTGGGGCAGTTGCTGAAGGCACAAAGAATAAATCACAGGTCTTACCCTCAAGATGCTTAGGATCTAGTGGAGGGATACAGGCACAAAAGTTTAGGAGTGTTTCTCAAAGTGTGGTCCAAGGACGATGTGCAACTGATTTGTTTTAGCTTGTTTCATTTTCTTTTCTTTTTTCTTTTTTTTTTTTTGGAGACAGGGTCTCACTATGTTGCCCAGGCTGGAGTACAATGGCACGATCTTGGCTCACTGCAACCTCTGCCTCCCAGGTTCAAGTGATTCTCCTGCCTCAGCCTCATGAGTAGCTGGGATTACAGGCACCATTATGCCTGGATAATTTTTGTATTTTTAGGAAAGATGAGGTTTTACCATGTTGACCAAGCTGGTCTTGAACGTCTGACCTCAAGTGATCCACCCGCCTCAGCCTCCCAAAGTGCTGGGATTACAGGCGTGAGTCACCACGCCTGGCCTGGTCATGCATCTTCAATAAGCTTCCCAGGTAATTCTGATGCCCTCTGAAGTATGAGAACCATGATGTAGCATTTGCACAGTATGTAGCTAAGGCAAAGGTAGACAAGCACTCAACACACCACATAGTTTGTGCTTGAAGACTTCCCGAGGCTTAGTCATCCTTACAGGCCCCTGTTAAGTCTTGACTCTCCCATGAAGCCTTTTCTAATTTTTCTAACTCATAAAGAACTTTTCTGTTTTGGAATTCCAACTGCACTTACAGCCTGAACCACAATTTAGCATTTAGACTGAGCATGTAATAAGTGCTCAGTCTAAGTAACTTGTTACTACTCTATGTAGTCATTATATGTGGAGTGAAAAGCAGAAGAACCAAATCTCAATGTCTGTGTCCTGATGGTCAAAGCTTTAGAAAAAGATGCAGTGCACAGTGCTTGCAAAGCCTGCATCTTTGGAAAACACTGAGAAATATTTATGTACTTATGCCATCATACGGACCAAGGACAAAATCAATAATAGAAAATATATCACATGTATGCGAAAGAACTTCATGTGTATTTGTTAAAGCTTCCAAAATAAGCTTTGCTGACTGCTTCTCAGTGTTTCAGGAAATATTCATTTGCTACCAGTTCATATTCTTGTGTTTTGCCATGCACTAGAGCTTGTTGACAGACAAGTGACAGAAGGAACCTAAGGTTTAAGAAAAATTAGTAGGACAAAAAACTGAGGAAATTCTATGCACTTTTCTTCCTGTGAATTGGGATCACTTTAACTGGTGTTAAAGGAAGACCCCTTAGTCCACTTCAAGGAACACTATGGCAGGCAGAACAATGGCCCCCAAACATGTCTATATCCTAATCTCTGGAACCTGTGAATATGTTATCTTACACAACACAGGGGAACTAAAGTTGCAGATAGAAGGATGGTTGCTAATTAGCTGGCCTTAAGATGGGGAAATTAGCCTGGATGTTCCAGGTGGACCCAATGTAATTACAATGATCCTTAAAAGTAGAAAAGAGGTTGGAATCAGAATGGGAGAAGGAGCTATGATGACAGAAGCAAGTTCAGAGTGATGGTGCTGCTGGCTCTGCCAGGGGAAGGGTCACCAGGCAAAAGGTGGGCGGCCCTGAGAAGCTGGAAAACGCAAGGAGATGAATTCTCCCCAGAGCCTCCAGAAAGCAACAGAGTCCCACCGGCACCGTGATTTTAGCCCAAGAAGACTCATTTTGGAATTCTGACCTCCAGAACTGTGAGATAATACATTTCGTGTGGTTTTAAACCACTCAGTGGCAATTTGTGACAGCAGCAATAGGAAATGAACCCATTATGCCCCCAAGGAACATAGTCCGAGAACCACTGCCTTTGCAGGTTTGCTCTGATGGCAGTTCTTTTTATGTCACTGGCTTTTCCATCAAACTTCTCAGGTGCAAAAAGGAATCATAAGAATCACGGTGGGGCCTGAGCAGGGACAGAGAGAATCAGAAGATGGAGCACAAAAGGAGGGTGGTGGTTTGGGGAGGGTGGCCACCCAAGTCCGCTCTGCAGAATGATGCACAGGTGACGCCATTGAGGCGAAGTGGGGAGGGAGGCTGGGGACCTGAGAGAGACGTCAGATAGAGGTGCAGTCCCGACCCTGTGCGAAGGAGAAACAGAAGGATGGAAAGTTGAGGGGAGCCCCTTAGACTACCGTGCGGTTCTGAAACTGTTTGCAGAACTGTTAGGCATTCCTAGGGCCAAAGCTGCCTGGCAGGGGATCTGGCTGTCTTCCAGGAACAGGCCTGCTTTACTGTCCCTGCCACACTCAGTTACCAGTTGGGAGTGGCCCGTGGAGCCTGTGGCCTCGGCGCAGATGTACCATGGATTTCAGTCCAGCAGCCACTGCACAGCTACACTTCCCACAGGTGGAGATCTGAGAAGCACATTTTTGTGGGCACCACACTGATGTTTCCCAGAGAACTGGGAAATCCCTGTGGCCTGGAGGCTTATCCCACACTGGGGACTCCCCAAGGCCCCAGGCCTCCTCTCTGCCCAGGCTATCAGAGCACATCAGAGCAGTAGCTGCAGTGGAGCATGAGAGAAAGCAAAGGGCCTCAGATTTCAGAGCAACCTGCGTTCTCCTGGGCCAGCTCCATCCCCACTCCGTGTTTAGACAATGACTGCTTAAGGTTCAGACTCTAGAAAATCATTGTCCCCCTTTTGCTGGCATGCATCCTATCCTGACACCCACCTGCCACAAATATAGGGGTCAGGCCTGGGCACAGCATGGTCACAAATAAGCTTCAATTGCAAGGAGGAAGGAGCTAGAGCAGCCATATGGTGTTTACATGTTTTCCATGTCAATCAGCAAAGGGAGGAGCAGGCAGATGCACGTAACGCAGCAAGTGTGTACAGCTTTCCCCAAGGCATGGTGTGGTTCTGCAGCTAAGGAGGCACGCCAGAGCCTGGGGAAGCCTGGCTTTTCCTAAGAGGCAGAGATGGGGCTGTGTGTGTGAGAGAGACAGAAGGACCCCAACGGTACCCACCAGGGAGGGCAGCCTCTATTTCTGACTGAGATCAGAGCTCTAAGGGGATGTTTTTTTTAAACGCAGGACAGAGAATAACAAGTGCCCAGAGGCAGAAAAGAAGAGGCTGCGGAGCCAAATGCCAGTTTATCTCTAACAGTCAGGTTGGGAGGAGGTGACGGGTGGGGAGGGGGTGGCAGAGATGACAGGTGAGGAGGGATGGGCAGGTAGAGAGGGGAGTGGCAGAGATGACAGGTGGGGGGTGACAGGTGGGGAGGGGGTGGTGAAGACGACAGGCTGGCCCTTCTGGTGGACTGGATGAACTCGCGGTGGGGAGGGATCAACAACAGGTTCCAGCAGGAAGCCCTGACGGGGAGAAGTGGGTCAGCTAGAGTAGCACATACAGAGGCTGATTACCGAGAGCATCTGGTGGTGAGTGGAGGCAGATTCCCCAGGCAGTGGGTCTCTGCACAGTGGAGAAGGAAGGATATAACCAACTCTAACAGCAGGAGAAGCTCTAAGGACTCAATCAGAATTGTTGATTTTCCTGAGAACAGTTGCAATAAGCCGCAGGGAAGGGCTGCTGAGAAAACCACCAGGAGAGCTGGATTCAGGATGTAGGATGTAGCCAGCCAATCATGCATGCAGAGAATGTTTACTGAGCATGAATACTGTGCCAGGCACCGTTGCTGCCCTTAGATCAGGGGTCCCCAACCCCTGGGCTGCAAACCAGTACTGGCCCATGACCTGTTAGGAACCAGGTTGTACAGCAGGAGGAGAGCAGTGGGCACTCAGGCGAAACTTCATCTGTATTTACAGTCACTCCCCATTGCTCGCATTACCGTCTGAGCTCAGCCTCCTGTCAGATCAGCAGCAGCATTAGGTTCTCATAGGAGTGCGAACGCTATTGTGAACTGCGCATGTGAGGGATCTGGGGTGTGCCATCCTTACGAGAATCTAACTAATACCTGATGATCCGAGGTGGAAGTTTCATCCCAAAACCATCTCCCACCCCACCCCCATTCTGTGGAAAAACGGTCTTCCATGAAACCGGTCCCTGGTGCCAAAAAGGTTGGGGACCACTGCCCTAAATGACCAGGAGTGTGAGCAAATGGAGGAGTGGCAGGTCCCCTCCCTGGCCTTCTGTCTTATCTTTCTTTTCCTCCTTCACTGAAGAATCTGCTACTTGCTGGCCCAGCCAGGGTGAGTGGGAGATGGGCCCGTGTGTGCCTGTGGCCACACCTGAGCATCAGGCGGACTCTGGGGGTGGAGGAGAGGCCAGAGCATCCCCCCTCCTACCCCAGCCCCGAGAGGTGAGGCCTGCCCCAGAGTGCAGTTACCTGAAATGTGAAGTATTCATCCGCAGGGGCATTCATCATGTTACAGATCTGGAAGGCAAGAGGAGACAAATGTTCTGAAACATTGTATGGTGGAGCCCTCTCGACCCACAAAGCAGAATAAGAAAGGACGCATTGGAAGTGAGGATTTCCTACATGGCTCTTGACTGCTTGCAGGCAAATGGACCTCAGCTAGGCCACAGCTGCTAACAACTCATTCAAGATGGCTTCCCTGCTGCTAACTAAATTACTGGAGGACACGTGGTACCGTCTCTGCCCCTTCCCACTCCCCCAGACTCTAGGGAATCCCCTCCAAATTCAAAGCAACAGGCTGCTCAGGCCAAGGAGAGGAGAAAGCTGAGAAATCCTAGCTCTGCTACAGCCAGGATGAGCAGCAGAACTAGGATTGCTTTTTTTCTTCTTCCCAAAGTGAGAGTTGGGTTAGAAGATGATGGCTAAGAGGCAGGAGGAAAAAGCCAGATAAGTTTTTAGTTACACCAAAGTAAGGATTCAGTGAGAGATATCACTTTAATTAGTGGAATTCAAAGACTATTGCTCACATCTATAAGAACAAGAAATCACTCCATTTTGGTTCATTTTAAGTTTTCTGTACCTTGGGTCATAGTCACAAATGGATCTTAATAAAAGACCATGTCTTTCCAAGAGATAATTAAAATCATAGCATTTTATTTCATTTCACTTTTTGTATTTTTTGAGACGGAGTTTTTGCTCTGTTCCCCAGGCTGGAGTGCAATGGCACAATCTCGACTCACTGCATCCTCCACCTCCTGGGTTCAAGCAATTCTCCTGCCTCAGCCTCCCAAGTAGCTGGGATTACAGGCATCTGCCACCATGCCCAGCTAATTTTTGTATTTTTAGTAAGGACAAGGTTTCACCATGTTGGCCAGCTGGTCTCAAACTCTTGACCTCAGGTGATCCACCTGCCTTGGCCTCCCAAATTGCTAGGATTACAGGCGTGAGCCACCACACCCAATAATCGTAGCATTTTAAAGCCAGAAGGGATCTTAGCAATTAAGTTCACACTTAAAAAAAATGAAGAAATGGAAGCCTAAAGAGGTTAAGTGATTTGTTTAAATCTATGGGATGGAACTAGAACTGTGATCTCCAGAACGAGTGCTGGGGAAATCAGCTCTCCTGGCTGGGAATTGGGGAAATCCTTGGCTTGTATCAGTTGCCAATATCCATGGTCCCAATTCTCCCGCCATGAGAGATTTCAAGCTGCCAACAGTTTAACAACTTGCTCACAAAAGTCCTAAAAAACTAACAATCTAACAAGATCTAAGAGGACTCCCTCCTTAAATCCCCACCTCACCAAACTCTGCCTGTCTCTCGGCCCCAAGGTAAGTGCTTTCTAAGAATGATTGAATGAACCATGTCTACTATTTTTGTAGTACGCTTACAAAGAAAACGCAAGAATATTTCAAAGTTTTTACAAGCATATATGGCCTAAGAATTTAAGGAATCTTTCATGCCACACATTAATTTCATGATCTAACTTCAATAAATTCCATAATTTGATGGGCTGAGCATGCTTCAACTGTGTTTTTGAAGAGGCAAAAAGCAGCTTATACTTCTTTTTTGATTTTTTCATCAGCAATATCTGTCTTAGTCCTTTCTTTGAAGAACATTATGTTCTAAATGTTATAAGAACATTTACAGGTGGGTCAAGACCTTAGAGGCCCAAGCTTTTAACTCAATATTGAAAAGTTCCACATACCACACCATCCCCACCCCATCCCCCTCATTTATGCTTTAAAAAATTGACTGATGTCCTTGAGATAGAATTAAACCCAGTCATTAAATCATAGTCATTGGATTCCAAAGGATATCTGAAATGTGTGTGGCTGCAGAATAAGAAATTAAGGGATGGAGGAATCTTCCTCATGCTGACTAAATATTTTTATGTAGAGTTCAGAAGTCTCCGGTTAACCTACATTTTAATGTCAAGATTCTTCTCTCCTTTGGCCTATGCCAAAGGAAGTGATCATCTAGCTTTTTTTTGTTTTATTTTCCTATGGAGTTTTGCTTTGTTGCCCAGGCTGGAGTGCAATGGCGCAATCTCGGCTCACTGCAACCTCCACCTTCTGGGTTCAAGCGATTCTCTTGCCTCAGCCTCCCAAGTAGCTGGGATTACAGGCATGTGCCACCACACCCAGCTAATTTTGTATTTTTAGTAAAGTCGGGGTTTCATCATGTTGGTCAGGCTGGTCTTGAACTCCTGACCTCAGATGATCCACCCGCCTCAGCCTCCCAAAGTGCTGGGATTACAGGTGTGAGCCACCACACCCAGCCCATCTAGCTTTTATTGGATGCATTCTTGCTTTCACAAGTGTATCTATCTCTTAGCTAATATGAGTTTCATACAATATTATTTAAAATTTGAATTTGTTCAATAACTTACAAATCCATTTTCAGCAACATACGTTGGCAACCCACTAATGAGCGTCCAGTGGTCTGCAGGAGGCGTCCTTGGGGAAGAAAAGAAGAAAAAAAATCATTGCAATATAGAGAAATGCAATGTGTGCAAAAATACAATGGCAACCGCGGCAGAAACTTCCTGTCAATACTCACGGAATCACTTTGATCTCTTCTTTTCCATGTAAAATGTAATCAATGATTTTATAAAAGTTGATCTCCTAAGAAAGAAAGAGGATATTATGGGAATAATGTTATTTCCCAAATAAATCATTTTTCACTGGGGAACTTGTACTTTAAAACTCTTACAAATAGAACCTTATTTCCCAACCACATTATATTATAACATAAATTATCAAACTACTTATATCCTGACTACACGCTTATAATAAAACCAGAAATCTTACTGGCTATTTATCTACATGCACAAGGCCAAAATAAATTTTGTTTTCAAAAAGTTGAATTGCCCCTAGTTTTTGGGGTGGGGGGATCTCTGGCTACTAAATCATCAGATAGTCTGTTTTTATTTTCAAGTGATCCCTTTTGTTGTCCAGAAATACCTGACATTAATAGCTTCACTAGAACAAATCACGTAATTTCTCAACTGCAGTCAGTTGTACATCATATATAGTGAGCCGATAACCTCCTTTCATCAGTGGCTTATCTGAACAGGTGCCTCAGAAACAGGAGGTTACATTGCCAAAGCTGGAAGGGACTAGAGAATTATTCTCTCTGTTTCATGGGGCAGATGATGAACCTGAGGCCTGGACACATTCCATCCCCTTCTCTTTCCTGTGTGCTATGGACACAGGGGTTGCTGCCTTCATGAAGCTTGCAGTCAAGGGGGAAAGTAAACCTAACCCAACCCTTCCTTAGAGATTCTAATCCCACATATCTGAAGAAGGGCCCAGGTACTTCTTTCAAATGTTGTGCAGGTGGCTCTGATGCATCCCTCCCTGTTGAGAATCACTGGTCTACCAAGCCCTGGCTTTATAGAAGAGGAAATGGAGAGATTTAACAATGAGTTAAGGCAAGGGCCAGTAGCTCTGCCTTGGGGCAGAGCTGGGACTAGAACCTCAAACTCCTTGTCTAGTGCTGTTTCTACTACTCCAAGTCCTCCCAGGCCAGTGCTCTATGCACTGTGGCGTCTTAGTTTTAGCACCTGACACCATGCACAGACGGCATCAAGGAAGACATTTGCACGTACCCTGCCATCAGGTGTCTTTGGACCTTTATAAGGCTCTACTTCTCCCAGCTTGATTGGCCATTCATCGTAGAATTCCTGCAGGCAATTAGATTTAAGTATCATTAAACACACTGTTCCATGACCTACCACATCTTATATGAATTTTCTGTGTTTGTATATTTTATGTTAATCTACATAATTCTGGAATTTTAGTGCTGAAAGATCTATAATTCCCAGCAATACTGGTTAGGAATTTTTTACTGTGAACGTGTTACTTAACCTTTTATATCTGTAAAATAGGGATAACAATAGAATTTGTACTAAAGAATTGTTGTGAGGATTAAACGAATAATACATATGTAACATCTACCCTGACACATAGTTCAGAGTACTCAGTGTATAGCAATTCTTTCATAGCCAATTAAGCTAAATCTAGTTTGATTAAGAGGCTTGGCCAAGGTCACACAGAGTGGCCAAATGTTGGTTGCTTTACCCAACATTCATTCTTCCCCTTTTCCTTGCTAGCATAACCTGATATGATTTGAGTATCAGGTGGTAATTTTTCATCAGACCACAGCCCATGAGTGGTCTACATGAGGTGCCTAGATCAGTTTGACGGCAGGTATGTGGCCCAGCTCTGGAAAATGAAGAAAGGGGAGAAGTCTGCTCAGAGACTCTGGCAAAAGGTATTCCTCAGATGAAAGCTGATGAGAGTGACATTTGGAGAAAATACCTCCCAGTTGTGTCATGTCTATGTGCCATTATTTGAGCTGCAACAGCCATCTTTCCACCATAAGAGGAGGCCTCAGCAACATGCTGCAGGTAGCAGAGACCTTGCCAGGAAGAAAGAGAAAAAGCACCTGGACTTTGACGACTGCACTGATCTCTGAGTCAACCAGTACTAGCGGTGCCCTACCTTGTTAAGTGGGAGAATAAATATCATATTGTTAGAGATGCTTTTAGCTGTGTCTGATATTTCTTACAGCCAAAAGAATCCTAACCAACATACTCAGCTAGAAAGTCCCAGAACCAAGATCAGAACCCATCTCTCCTAGTGCTTCATCCTATGTTTATCCACTTAGAACAACTACTCTGAAAAAATAACTTCCAATCACACGAATATAAAGAAATATAAATAAGGCCAGGTGTGGTGGCTCATGCCTGTAATCCTAGCACTTTGAGAGGCCGAAGTGAGTGGATCACTTGAGGACAGGAGTTCAAGACCAGTCTGGCCAACATGGTGAAATCCTGTCTCTACTAAAAATACAGAAAATTAGTGGACGTGGTGGTACAGGCCTATAATCCCAGCAACTGAGACATGAGAATTGCTTGAACCTGGGAGGCTGAGGTTGCAATGAGCCAAGATCATGCCACTGCACTCCAGCCTGGTGACAGATTGAGACTCTGTCTCAAAAAAAGGAAAGAAAAGAAAAGAAAAAATATACAAATAATATGGTATCATTAGTTATTTTGAACTAGAAGGGTAGCAACAGATTTAAAGAAGATGACATAAGGGCATTATATTGTGAATAATATTAAATGTTTCAATATTTCTACTTTAAAATAATTAAATTTTTTTAGAATACAAAAACCTAAAGTTGGTAAAGATAATATTGATTATCCACCTACTATGTAAATTCTAGACACTATATACATATAGTGTTTATATATAAAATATATCTATATATAATCTCTAATTCTTACAATCGATAAGAGAGATGTCCTCATTTTACAGATGAAGAAGCCAAGAATCAGGTAAGTTAAAAGATTTGCTGACAAGAAGAACAAAATCAAAGAGCTGACACTACCTGACTTAAGATTTGCCATAAAGCTGCAATAATCAAGACAGTGTGGTATTAGTGAAAGAATGGACAAATGAATCAATGAAACAAAATAGAGAATCCAGAAATAGACCCTCACAAATATAGTTAACTTGGACAAAGGAGCAAAGGCAATGAACAAAGGATAGTCTTTTCAACAAATTGTGTTGGAACAACTGAACATCTACATGTAAAAAAAGGTGAATCTAGAATCAGAGCTTGTACCTTTCACAAAAAACAACTCGAAACGGAGCATACACCTAAATGTAGAACACAAAAGTATAAAAATTCTCGGAGATGACATAGAAGATCTAGGTGAACTTGAGTTTGATGAGACTTCATAGATACAACATCAAAAGCACAATCCATGAGAGAGAAAATGTAGAAAAATTAGACTTAATTGAAATTAAAACCTTCTGCTCTGCAGCAGACACTGTTAAGAGAATGAAAAGATAAGCCACAGACTAGGAGAACGTATTTGCAAATCACATATTTGGTAAAGGACTTGGATCCACAATATACAAATAACTCGGCCGGGCGCGGTGGCTCACGCCTGTAATCCCAGCACTTTGGGAGGCCGAGGCGGGTGGATCACAAGGTCAGGAGATCGAGACCACGGTGAAACCCCGTCTCTACTAAAAATACAAAAAATTAGCCGGGCGCGGTGGCGGGCGCCTGTAGTCCCAGCTAATCAGGAGGCTGAGGCAGGAGAATGGCGTAAACCCAGGAGGCGGAGCTTGCAGTGAGCCGAGATAGCGCCACTGCACTCCAGCCTGGGCGACAGAGCGAGACTCCGTCTCAAAAAAAAAAACAAAAACAAAAAAACAAATAACTCTTACAATTGAATGATAAGAAAACAACATAATAAAACGTGGGCAAAATATCTGAGCAGATATCTCTCTAAGAAGATATACAGATGACAAGTAAACATATGAGAAGATGCTCAACATCATATGTCATTGGGGAATTAAAAATTAAAACAATGAGATACCACAACTGATACCCCAAATACTGGCATTAGCAACTGCTAATACCCAAAATACTGACATTAACAACTGCTGGTGAGAATGTGCTTCTGGTAGACATGCAAAACAGTAAAGTCACTTTGGAAGACAGTCTGCCAGTTTCTTACAAAGATCAATTAGTCTTACAATATAATCCAGCAATTGCCCTGTTCGGTATTTACCCAATTGAGTTGAAAACAGAGACACATATAAACCTACCTACAATGGTTACAGCAGCTTTATTCACAATCACTAAGTATTAGAAGCAACCAAGATACCCTTCAACAGGTAAATGGATAAACAAACCTGCCATACAGTGGAATAATATTCAGTGATAAAAAGAAATTAGCTATTGAGTCATGACAAGACATGGAGGAAACTTAAATGCATATTTCAAAGTGAAAAGCCAGTCTGAAAATGCTACATACTGTATGATTCCAACTATATGGCATTCTGGAAAAAGCCAAAACTATAGAAACAGTAAAAAAAAAAAAAAAAAAAAAAAAAAAAAAAAAATTGGTGGCTACCAGGAGTTTGGGGGGATGAGGGAAGGTTGAATATGTGAAGCATAGAGGGCTTTGAGGCACTGAAACTAGTCTGTCTGATACTGTAATAGCAGATATATAACATTAACATTTGTCAGAATTCAGAGAACTGCACAAAGGATAAACCTTCATGTAAACTATGGGCTTTAGTTAATAATAATATATCAATACTGATTCATCACACCACACTAATGCAAGATGTTAATAACAGAGAAACTGAGAGAAGAGATTGGGAGGGAAGAGGAAACTCTGTACTTTCTAATCAATTTTTCTGTCAATATCACTCTAAAAATAGTCTATTAATTAGTGTAAAAAAAAACAGACTTGCTGAAAACCCATACTGCTAGGAAGTGGAAAAACCAAGATTCAAGCCTACATCTTTTTTGCTCCAAGATGTACATCTTTTTACTTCTGTTTTTGTGATCAATCATGACTAATTATTTACATAGTGTATCTGTTTTTTGAGGATCACATTTCCTGTGGTGTATGTTTTATAGGCAATGTTACATGAGACAAAATGTGTAGAATAATAAGAACCTTCTCCTTGGTCATGTCCAGCAGTCCAATGGAGTATCGTTCACAGTTCAGATATGTTCTAACTGTGTAGAGCGCTTTGTGAAACTGTCGCTCAACATCTGTGAGTTCTTCAAATACTTTATTGGCTGACCACATAAGGATCTGAAAGTAGGTATCAAAAAGAAAATAGTTAGAATAAAGTATGTTATGGAGAGAGAGAGCATTCGCCACAAGAAAACATGAGGTGCTTCAAATAAAATGAATGCATATCGTTGGAAAGTGCAATTCTGATTTTGAACATGTGTACGTCCAACAAGCTACTCAGATCCTCTAGGTGAGATGATGAGTAGACCTTTGCAAGGCTGCGGGTCTATGAGAGAGAAAAGCTATGATTGGTCCCTGTGTCTAAATGTTTTGGCTCCAAAGGGGAAGTGCCCTGAAATTGGATGCAAAGATGGTCCCTGGGTGGAGAATCCAGTATTGGTGGCTCACTGGCTCCTGCTGGCCCTCATGTGGAGAGAGCCACCTACTTCCTTCCATGCACCCTGAGCTAGTTGGAGGTAACCTTACCTGGAGAGTTGGAATGGGAAGGGACCTCCCTCTCAACCTCTACCTGTGCATTGTACTGGTGAGGAAACTGAGGTCCAGAGAGTGGGCCAGACTCAGGTATCTTGGCTACCAATGTTGCTCTTTATCCCTCTGTCTCATGGAAGCAGGAATAATGTGCTCCTCAAATTAATAGGTTTCCTATGACCCAGGAATTGCTACAAGCTTTATGTGAGAGGTAATCGCTAATAGCCACAACAGCCATCTGAAGTAGGTACCATAATTGTCATCACCATTTCATAGACAGAAATGCCAAGTCCACTTGGGATCTAGACTGAAGAAAGCCAAGCCAGTTGTGCACACAATTGGAGAGCTTGGGGTGCAGGGGAGTGTGGGTGGGGAGAGTGGCAGGAAGATCATGAGAGGACACTTGGGACTGAAGTTTGGGGGTCTGCTCCACGTGGCTTAAACCCCCAGGAGGAATAGGAGGGGTCTGAATTTGTTGTCTCTGGGCGGCTTTGTCAGAATAGGTCAGCGTGGAATGATTAATACTGCCTTCCTTTTACCTGGCTTCTTCGGGATTCAATATTGTACATGTAGCTGGTATGATGAAGCTTTAGGATGACAGACACAAAGTTGAGGTATTTGGAAAAGACCTACAGATGGCAGAGAAGAATAAGTTATAGTTGTTATATCTTTTCTTTGGTTATACAACAAATAAATTTCCTGAGCCTCCAACCAGATGCCCATGGTTAGCATTACCTCTTCATCCTGTTTGGAAAATTCAGATGCATTTACTTTGTTAACTGCCATGATCACAGCAAGAACTTCCTTGCCCATCACGATCGGGGTTGCCAGCAGGTTCTTAGTGACATATCCAGTTTGCTTGTCCATGAAGTCAGAAAAATGGCTGTTCTGAAAGAGATAGTCACACATTTGCCAAAGTGGCACAGAATCATAGAGTGGTAGATCTAGGGATGATGACAGATCATTCTCTCATTTAAATGCTACCAACAGATAACCAGGGCTCCAGTACAGTGGTCCCCAGCAAATAATCCCACTCCACCTGCCATCCTATGACTACATAGAATGGAATTGGCGATTTCAGAATAAGCGCTTCCCACCTGAGCTATGACCTATTTAGGTTAGGCTGAGGTTGGGCCAAAAGAAAAGAGGTGATGAGACAGCCAAGTGGAAAGTGAGGTGCTAAGAGGAACAGAGGGGAAGGCACAGGGTTACAAGAGACAGCAAGTGCATGCAGGGAAGGAGAGCACAGCTAGGAATACAGACACAGTTCATAGAGCACTTCTCTCTCATTACAAAGGGAAAACATGCACTTGAAATCATCAACCCATATGTCATAACATAAAGCAAAAATTATCATTCCCCCCAATCTAGCCTACTAAAAGAAATCTGTGCTAACTGTTGGTGTGTCTCCTTCTATGCCTTTCTCTGTGCTTGAACAAAGAATTTTCTATTTTTTCTAAAATTTCCTTTTCTAATTGCTTATAATAGTTTCATCACTTAACAATGTCTTACAGACTTCCCTGAAGACCAATGCATATGGATGTGAACTCACCTCTTGGATTCGTGCACACTACTCCACCCTGGGTGCTGTACGATCCACTCAACTGTCCTCTATTGATTCTGCCTGTTTATAGTTCTCCCCACTACCAACAGTACTGCACTAATCCTTCTTACTTTTATTTTTATGTGATAGGTTCCCAAAAAAGGAAATCCCTTTTGCTGGATCAACAGGAACATACAGTTTTTATTTACATAGATTACTTTGATGAAAGGTTCACATTCCGTGGCTGGGCACGGTGGTTCACGCCTGTAATCCCAGTACTTTAGGAGGCCGAGGCAGGCGGATCACCTTAGGTCAGGAGTTCGAGACCAGCCTGGCCAACATGATGAAACCCTATCTCTACTAAAATACAAAAACTAGCAAAGCATGGTGGCGCACCCCTGTAATCCCCGCTACTCAGGAGGCTGAGGCAGGAGAGTCGCTTGAACCCGGGAGGTGGAGGTTGCAGTAAGCCAAGATTGTGCCATCATGCTCCAGCCTGAGCAACAAGAGCAAAACTCTGTCTCAAAAAAAAAAAGGAAAATAAAAAGAAATGTTCACATTCTAACTTCCACTGACCCTGTGTGAAAGGACTGAGGACTACCCTCTTGCCAGCATCAGATGCTTATCAGGTTTTTAATGTTCTACCAAGCTTATGTCTTTCATTCCTATTTTTTTTCTTTCTTTGGGAGAGAGGAAAGTGGATCTTCCCAGATTCAGGCCTCTTAGATTCGAGAGACGATTCTAATCCACTGGCCACTGCAGAGGCTGAGCGATGAGTCTAGAGAAGTGCACAAATGGAAGGGCTTGAGAAAAAGGTCGCGGAAGGCAATTATCTTATTAGCTGTCATTTCAGAGAATAGCCACTCAAGGTGAGTTTAGACCCAGCCTTCCTTGGGTCATGACATTTTTCCCTTTGCACCTAGGACTGCAATGAGAACTGAACTCTCAGCCTTAACTCTGAGGCTCGTTGGCCAAAATTAGTGTGGTGTTCCTTCCGCACTTGTATTATTTTCATTTCCTTGTGTTGGCAGTGCCTCTAAAAGCAGCACAAACCTTGGAGACTGGAGTCTGTCTGGTTTCCCGGAGAAAAAAAAGGTGAGAATTTTCTGTGTGCATTTCCAGGCCAGAGTTTCCACCAGGGAACAAGGGCTGGCTGGCCAATAGAACTCACAGAGCTCAAATGAGATTAGCAGTCCTGAGACATGCCTCAGAATCACCTGCAGATTAATGCAGCAGATGCACTGAATCCTAATCTCCTACAGTGGAACCTGCACTTTTACGTGGCCCAGGTAATTCTTAGGCTCAACCCAATGGGGAATCACCAGAAATGGTGCTGCTCTCAGAGGAAATGTGTGATGGAAAGGGGATAAAGGCAGCCCCTCAGCCCAGATCTCTTCTATACCTTTCCCAAAGTGGAAACACACAAACCAACTCTTTAGGCGTCAGCATTGCATCAAGGCAAGGAAGGTACTGGAGTCAGACTTGCTTGGCTGAAACTGGGCCCCAATGTACTAGCTCTATGGTCCTGGGTGTGTTACTTACCTTCCGTGTCCTCGTTTTCTAATCTGAAAATAGGGGTAACACTTCCATCTACTGCCTAGAATTCCTGATGTGAAGATAGAATAACAAAGTATAGGCTGAGCACTTAGAAAAAAAAAAAAAGTGTCTGGCACATAGTTAGATATTCAGTAAGTACTGGGAAGAGAAACTTAGTACTTTTCTAGGCTTTCCTGAATGAGAAGTAGTTCTTTTGCAATTACCATTTTGCTTCTAGCTTTAATTTTTCTAGCCAATTCAAATCACTGCAGAAATCAGATGCCCGTAGCTGGATGTAGGCCTCCCACACCGCGGAGCAGCCTTCCTCCAGAGGGCCAGCACACTCCCTCACGCCACCAAGAGCCACATTTCTTTTCTCTCCACTTTATCTGTCACTTCTCTGTTTCCCCATAGGATCTTCACCCTCAGACCAAAGTGTCTGCAGGCTTTGTTACATTCTTTCTCTTAATCCGCTGCTTGTCTAGGCCAGCTGCCATTGTTTCCCTTCCACCCTGTTATCCATGCAGATCATACCACCTTCATTTACACAGCCTGGGCACTAAAGGAATCATCAAAATACCAGAAACATGCACCATGGGATGAAGTTAGCCAGGACTGGTTTCTTTTTTTTTTTTTTTGAGACGGAGTTTCGCTCTTGTTGCCCAAGCTACAGTGCAATGGCGTGATCTTGGCTCACTACAGCCTCCGCCTTCCGGGTTCAAGTGATTCTCCTGCCTCAGCCTCCTGAGTAGCTGGGATTACAGGCGCTCACCACCACACCTGGCTAATTTTTGTATTTTTAGTAGAGACAGGTTTTTCCCATGTTGGCCAGGCTGGTCTCAAACTCCTGACCTCAGGTGATCCACCAGCCTCAGCCTCCCAAAGTGCTGAGATTACAGGTGTGAGCCACCGCGCTTGGCCGGCAGCACTTCTTTGCAAACACATTTCACTCTGCGACTTCAAACTTAACGCCATTTTATTCCAGATTCTAAACACAAGGAAATGTTCTTAAGTTCAATGGACTGTTTTGAGAAAATGGCTTGCAAGTTTCAAAATTTAATACTTGCTTATTATTGCATCTGAAAGCCCTAGATACACCAGCCATCAAGTTACAGGATGGACGTGGGGAACGGGTTTTTGTGTTTTATTTTCACTAGCTCAAAAAATCTTTAGTGAAGTTTCTTTGCATAAATCCTGTGTGTGTCCCTTGATGGTTCTTCAGAGAAGCCCTTGAAGGCAGCTGGAGAACATTGTTTAGAGCAACAGGAGGCCTGATCCCTTATCAGATGTCAGTATTGCTAAATCCTGATTAAATACCCTTAACCCCTGAGATCCATGGCAGAAGTAGAGGAAGAAAGAGGAAGGAGGACTTTTAAAACACAGTCAGAATCAGGATCACCCATAGTTTATGGACAGCTTTCCCAATAGAGAAAGAAACAACTTAAAGAGGATAGCTCTCAGTTTCCTGTTGTTAAAAGTCTTCCTCTCAGCACTTTGGGAGGCCTACGTGGGCAGACCACGAGGTCAGGAGTTTGAGACCAGCCTGGCCAACAAGGTGAAACCCTGTCTCTACTAAAAATACAAAAATTAGCTGGGCATGGTGGTGCGTGCCTGTAATCCCAGCTACTGAGGAGGCTGAGGCAGGAGAATGACTCGAACTTGGGAGGCAGAGGTTGCAGTGAGCCGAGATCGTGCCATTGCACTCCAGCCTGGTGACAGAGCGAGACCCCTTCTCAAAAAAGAAAAAGTTTTCCTGCCTTCAACTTGTTTTAAAACAGGCAATAGTCATTGACCCTTTTTTGGCCAACCATATCCAGCTCCTAAACCCCTACTGGCATAATGACAATATTATCACAGCTATCATTTATTGAGCATCTGTGTATAAAGGTCCTTTATACACTTTTAATCTGTACATTTGCTTATCTCCATTTCTTAGGGGTAGAAACTCCATCACACAGTTACTAAGTCACAGACATGGATCCGCACCCAGCTCTGTCTGATGCCAAAGCCCTCTCCCTATACCAGTGGCTTCCCTGTTACCTTCATGGACCCTCCAAGGCTGGGCGTATGTAGCTCTGTACCTTTGTCTAGGCGTGAGCAGTCTTTCCCTCACCTGCACCCACACTGCTAATCAGAGGAAAGTTGTGTGTGGTCAGGGGTGTGGTAGAAAGAGGGAGGCCTCCAAGACGTGAGTTATTGCCCCAGATCTGCCACATCCTGTCTACCTAACTTTGAACGATTCCTACTACATAGGCTGGAAATAAAAAATATGATCCTTGTCAGAGAACGGTGTTTAAATTGCCAAGTGCAATGAAAAGAGGAAGAATTAATCAGATACTTTATTGGAAACATTAGTTTCTATTCCTTTCCCGTTGCAAATCTTAACTGCAGTGGTTAAAGCATGTGAAACTGCAAGGGTGTAAGGTAGGCAAACAGAGCACTGGACACATACTCAGCTACCTCTGTTCCAACCCTTCTCATCCACAGACACATACCGTGGACGCCGGGGAGATACAACTCCTGTGGCCTCAACTTCCTGTCCTCCATTGGACAGAGTTGGGCTAAAGACTTGATAAGCCCCTTCCATCTCTAATATTCCACAGTTGATTTGAAATTCACTTCCTCCTCCTGTATCTGCTCACCCAATAGACCAGTGGTTTTCAACATTGGCTGCATATTAGAAGTACTTGGGGGAGCTTTTTAAAAATACCAATGCCTGGACCGGGCACAGTGGCTCACAGTGGCCTGTAATTCCAGCACTTTGAGAGGCCGAGGCGGGTGGATCACCTGAGATCAGGAGTTCAGTACCAGCCTGGCCAACATGGTGAAACCCCGTTTCTGCTAAAAATACAAAAATTGGCCAGGCATGGTGGTGCACACCTGTAGTCCCAGCTACTCAGGAGGCTGGGGCAGGAGACTTGCTTGAACCCAGGAGGCAGAGGTTGCAGTGAGCCGAGATTGCGCCACTGCACTCCAGCCTGGGTGATGGAGCAAGACTCTGTCTCAAAAATAAATAAATAAATAAATAATAAAATAATAAAATAAAAACACTAATGCCTGAATTCTAATTTTTGAGAGTCCACTGTAACAGTAAAGCCACCGATATGGTTTTGTGGATTGTGTCTGTTTTTTGAGACAGGATTTCATTCTGTCACCCAGACTGGAGTTCAGTGTGTGAACACAGCTCACTGCAGCCTCAGCCTCACAGGCTCAAGCCATCCTCCCATCTCAACCTTCCAAGTAGCTGGGACTCCAGGCACACACCACCATTCCTGGTTTATTTTTGTATTTTTGGTAGAGACGGGGGTTTCCTATGTTGGCCAGGCTGGTTTCGAACTCCTGGGCTTAAGCCATTCACCTGCCTTGGCCTCCCACAGTGCTGGGATTACAGGCATGAGCCACTGCACACAGCTTAATGTGGTTTTAATGTACAGCCAGAGTTGGAAATCCCCACTCTAGAGGGAAAAAAAAAATGAAGAAGCAGTTGGAATGAAGAACCAATGAGACCTCTGTCTTTCCCGTAAGCACAGAACCATATCTGTCTTCAACACACATTTCTCTGTGTCCCACCCAGAACAGCCAGGAGCCCTCCAGAAAAGAGAGGAGAGACTCCCCACTCCCAGATGAAGTGCTCTGTCCATGCCTTGATGCTCACCATGGACAGCCGCAGACCAAAACCACCTCCAAGCAGCTCCATGCTCTTATTTCCTTCTCACCACGGAGAACTGGGCTCATCAAAGTATAACAGCAGAAATCATTTTACCCATCTCTTCTTTAAAAGCCTTTCAAAAAAATTCCTGAATGTCACTTTTTAAAGTTTGGTGTGCTAGTGGGGATGGGCTCAGTTCAGGACCCTCAAGGAGCATCTTCCCATGAGAAAAACCTCAGGATGTGCGGACATTGCCTTCCAGTTGGTTGTCTAGAGAACTTTTCCCTAAGGACGCGCATCTGTTTAGACACCTGAGCCGCAGTCAGCCTCAAAAGCAAACTTAACCCAGCTTAAACTCATTGAAAGGAGGAATTATTCAGGACTGAAGGCCCTACCAGGCCCCACGGTAACCCTTGCACCTGAGCAGTGTTCTGTGGTTGTTTGCAGAGAGTTGCTCATGTTTGACGACTTTCATACCTCTTGGGTCCGTGTGACCCTCCCCCTGTAATCAGCTTCAGGAGGCATTTAGGAGATTATCCTCCTGCCTCTCCAGCTGCGCTATTCACCCCTGCACAGAAAGCATTTCACAGGCTGTTCCCATTCAACTCTGTTCCATCATAATCCACTTCTCCCTTTTTTGTTAATGGTAAACCGTAATAATGGAACACATGTGTAGAGAAGGAGCTGCCAGGAGAATCTCCAAGCTGGTACCCTTGATTATTGCTGAGGGGAGGGATGATAGGTGATTAGCATTTCCTCCTTTGGTTTATTTGTATCTTATAATTTTTAAAAAATGAACATGTACTCTAATGGTAAGAATAAAGTTTTTCTACTTCTATAAGGGTCATCTCAATGCCTTGTATTTGTGCAGTATGCTGTTGGTCTTCAAGAGGGTCCAGATGTCCCACTTACATGATTGGAATTCATTCTTGAAAGATCTGGGTTATGGAGCAGTGGGAGTAGTCAATTGCACTTAACCATCACCTAAATTCACATATGTAATGAATTCCAAATTTGAACATCTGAACTTTCAAATGGCATCATTTTTTTTTTTTTTTTTTGCACATTTGGTTGATAGATGAAAGCATTGATTTACTAGCAAATCCATCCAAAAAACCTGAATGTTTTCAAAGGACTGTGAATGAGAAGCATGGGGAGCAGCTGACAAGTTTTGGCATCTGGGCACGTTGGCCCATCTCCCTGGTGGGGTGTTTTGCTTTGCTGGTGTTGTGAAAAGGAAAGTCCTCCAGAGCACTGGAGGAGGTGTAAGGGAGGGGGTGTGGAATGCACCAGGTCCAGGTAGGATCGCCTGATAAAATGCCCAACTTTACATGGGACATACTTACACTTCAGAAAATAATAATTCATTGTTTATCTGAAATTCAAGTTCAACTGGGCAACTTGAAATTTCATTTGCTAAATTTGGCAACACTAGGCCTGACTGATCCTCTTCCCTGCCACCCACATTCCCCCGATTATTGCCAAACTAATGCCACAAGGATAGCACTATCTCTCTTTCCCATTGGTTCCTCCCTGACCCTGCCAAGACCTCTGCCCCACTGTCATAAGGCCACCTACCTTTTTCACATCTGGGACATTATGAGTTTTCTTCGTGTGAGCAGCCCAACCCACTATCCCAATGTCCAGTGGAAACACAACTTCTTTGTCAGGACCCACCAGGTTGTCGTCAAAGTTGGAGGTGGGGGTGACATCCAGCAACCTAGAGGCTACCTCAGGTATGCCGTTCCGGGACCGGCACAGGAACATGCTGCAGCGGTCAGCCTGGAGCAGGTGGGCCAGCCTCTGCAAGGCCCTGTGAACCCCCTGCTCTGGGGTGCCCCCCTCCTCCTGCACGGTCCACAGCAGCTCCAAGCACAGGGCCGACTCCTCCACCTGGGTCAGCTCAGAAAAGGACATGCTGGACTGGACTGGCACCTGGCTGTTCTTGAAAATTTCTCCCAGCACCTCCACCCGCAACTTCCTGTCAAAGTACTCCTTGGCAAACTGAGGATTCTCCTCCAGGTATTTCTCCACGGCATCTTGGTTGATCTCACCCATGGTGCGGCTTACTTTGCTGCTGTTGTTCAGAAAGGACGACCTTCAGAGCACTACCTGAGGCAGAGTGATGAGAAGGAAATACATCCTTGTGGAAATTACTGAGGAAACCGTAAATGGTCCCTCATAGGACTTCCAAAGGTCAAGCAGAAAGCAGAGCTTTCAAACTGCCTGTAACTCTTGGGATGTGACAGAAGGCCCTGGCTTAGGGTGGGATTCAGGAAGCAGAGGATTAAAGAGTTCTTCAGGACACTAAATCCCCGAGCATTAGTAGCTCATAAGTCCCCAGCGAATCTTCAGAGCATCTTAGATCAGCCCAGCAAGTAGCAAGCTGAGGTGTCTATTCCAGGAAAAAATAACTGAATGTCGGCTGCTGTCCGCAGCACGGAAGAATCACTGACATATCCATGAATGACATGACATCGGCAACAATTGGCACCTTGAATCATTCTTGTATGATAGCTATAGGAAGTAAAACTATTTAGACTTCAGAAGTGCTTGGATTTTTTTTTGTTTGTTTGTTTATATAGCAACTTCAATGAACATCTGGGGAATATGGAACTGTTTAGCATCACCACAACGTAAAGGTGAATATTAATCTTTCCTTTTCTTAAGTCTTTTGATCACCAATGTTGCTTGGCCCCTCTTTCTCTAAAACCCTCACCTCTCAATCCCCCTCACTTTAGAAAGCTTGACCTCAGAAGTGTTTTAAAGGAATAAACCTCAAGCTTATTACTGAAGAGGTGAACATAGCAAAACATTTGCCAATGATCCAAACCTAATCAAGTCAAGAATTGAATAATAACCCTTGTCGAGAGACTGTAATTACAAAAGGTAACCTACATAGTTACTAGCTGGGTTTTTCTGCTAAGTATATTATCTAGGATTTTGTTTTCAATAGTAATAGCCAGACGTCATGCGATTTTGCTCCAACATACAGTCTACTAAATCTACTAGATGATAGATATCTTGTTTGTTGCTAGGATCCTTAACGTCTCAGGGGCTACTGGCATAGAAAGAACACTTACCACTATTTAGTTTTATTTAATGTTCACTTTACTAAGCTTTTACATCTATTAAACACATTTCCTCAAATATTTAAACACTATTATGCAACTAATAATTCAAACTATTAATTCATGAACCAATTGCCTTCGATACTTAAATGTTGGTTTCAAACTTAGCCAAGGTGTTTTAAACACTTCAATAAAACTACAAACCTAATATGACAAATTCTCTTAAGCGGAAAACACACACATGTTACAGTGACTCTAAAAATTATTGTTACACCCACATTTAAGTTTGTTTCAAAAATAGAAACCGTATGAGTTTCATTGAGTTCTCTAAGCTTTACCTCTCTAGAGAGATACTAATTTTTTTTTTTTTTTTTTTTTTTTTTTTTTTTTTTTTGTGGAGACAGAGTCTCGCTGTGTCGCCAGGCTGGAGTACAGTGGTGTGATCTGAGCTCACTGCAGCCTCCATCTCCTGAGTTCAAGTGATCCTCCTGCCTCAGCCTCCCAAGTAGCTGGGACTACAGGTGGGTGCCACCACGCCCAGCTAATTTTTGTATTTTTAGTACACATAGGGTTTCACCATGTTGACCAGGCTGGTCTCGAATTCCCAACTTCAGGTGATCCACCCGCGTCAGCCTGAGAGATAGTAATCTTATTGGTCTTAAAAGAAAAAGAGATCCGTTGAGATTGCACATTCCCTGTTGAGAATTGAGAGATTCTTGGTGGGAAACATGGTGTTCCCAGGGGTACAGAACTCAAACAGTCATTTGTTGAGTTATGCCACTTCTTATGATTGAGTTTCACCTGCTACCTCAAAGCACCTTGACAGGTGCACACATTTTCTTGGACTATCCTATGTCACACTCAACTCTAGTCTCAGGAGGTTCCTCATTGGATGACTATTTACTTCATAACATCCTATTATTATAATTAGGATAATGCAGAGGTATATTTCCCAGGAGAGAGTTGAGTCAACTGAGTCACCCCTCCTATGGGACCATCCTCCTCATCTAACAATTTTGGGCACCTTTTCTACCTATTTTGTGTGACTCATGGCACAGTTCCTACTTCTCCCAAAAGTATGTGGCATACTCACGATTTCCTGGTTTCATCCTTCCCTCCTGAAACAGAGAGGGAAAAACACATATTTGCATTTCATATACAGACTTAGAAAAAACAAAATGCCCATATAGGTTCATGTTTCATAATCTTATAAAAGTGAATATTAATTTGAAAAAGAAACATCCTATTATAGTCAGCATTCTTTTGTTTTCATAACTAGTTAGAGATTTGTTCATTTGTTCATTCTTTGTTTTTTTGTTTTTTTTTTTTTTGAGATGGAGTCTCCCTCTGTCACCCAGGGGTGATCTTGGCTCACTGCAACCTCTACTTCCCGGGTTCAAGCGATTCTCTTGCGTCAGCCTCCGAAGTAGCTGGGATTACAGGTACACGCCACCACGCCTGGCTAATTTTTTTTGTATTTTTAGTAGAGACAAGGTTTCACCATGTTGGCCAGGCTGGTCTTGAACCCCTTAGGTGATCTGCTCACCTTGGCCTCCCAAAGTGCTGGGATTACAGGTGTGAGCCGCTTCACCTGGCCTCATTTGTTCCTTCTTTCAACATTTGTCTATTGATTGTTATAAGCAAGGCACCATTCTAGCTATTGTGATAGAGACTTCAAGTTCCCTTTATATTGTATGATTGTTTCCTTCTCCCAGTTATATGGGAAGATTACTCTTTCCCCCTCGGGTACAGCCATATGACTGATTTTACCAAATGGGTTGTGGGCAGAAATATCACTTTCAGACAGAAACAATTAATTGCCAACGGGAGGCTCTCCAGGTCTCTGTTCCCTCTACTACCACATCAGTTTCAGGTGAAAGGGCTCCTGAATCCCAGAGTGAGGATGTCGTGTAACAGAGGCCCCTGCTGACCTGAGATGGACATGTAGCATCATGAGAAATCAACCCGTCTTGTTTTCAGCCTCGGAGACGTGAGGGTTGTTGTTACTGCAGCATCACCAAGACAATTCTGACAGTTACATTTCTACTGCCGGGGACCTGGGGGGATGACAAGCACTTGTGGCATGGGAAGGGAGATAAGACTAGTGCATAAAAAGCCATGAGACATAGAACAGAATGCAAGTCATGCTGGAAGTGAGGTACATGCACACGGCTATGGGAGTTCACGAAAGGGATCATATCTAGTGTGGCTGAAGACAGGGTAGAAATCGAGAGTGTTCAGAAGCAATAGCATGGGGTGTAGGGTAATACAGGGAGGACAGTGAGAGATGACCCTGGAAAGGTGGGTGGGGCCCAGATTAGCTGGAAAGGTGGGTGAGGCCCAGATTAGAAGGGCCTCAAAGGCTAGACTGAGGATTTTGAATCCTGGAAAATTTTTGAAGTGGAAGGCAACATTATTAGTGTTCTTCTTTTTTTTTTTTTTTTTTTTTTTTTTTTTTGAGACAGAGTCTCGCTCTGTCGCCCAGGCTGGAGTGCAGTGGCTGGATCTCAGCTCACTGCAAGCTCCGCCTCCCGGGTCTACGCCATTCTCCTGCCTCAGCCTCCCGAGTAGCTGGGACTACAGGCGCCCGCCACCTCGCCCGGCTAGTTTTTTGTATTTTTTAGTAGAGACAGGGTTTCACCGTGTTAGCCAGGCTGGTCTCGATCTCCTGACCTCGTGATCCGCCCGTCTCGGCCTCCCAAAGTGCTGGGATTACAGGCTTGAGCCACTGCGCCCGGCCTAGTGTTCTTCTTTACCAACTTAATGAGGAAGATAACTTGGAGGAAAACAAAATACTAGACGTTGGGATGCAGATTAAGATATTTTATTGCCTTTGGCTCATTATCAAACAACCTAAAAATGTGTATAGGCTTTGACCCTATAATTCTGCTTCTATGAATTCATCTTAGAGAAATAATTAAGAATGTATGTGATTAATACAGTTGCACGGGTGCTTCTTATGAGTGTGGGTATAAAAGTAAAAGACTAGAAATAGCCTAGACACTCATTAGTAGGAGGTTGAGTAAATAAATGGTGTTAGATCTCTAAAATAGAAAGCTACACAGCTATTAGGTTGGTACAAAAGTAATTGCAGTTTTTCCCATTACTTTTAGTGGCAAAAACCGCAATTACTTTTGCACCAACCTAATAATATTGTTAGTCTATTGATATGAAAAAATATTTATGATATGCCGTTAGTTACAAACAGTATTGCAGCATGATTCCATTAATACACACAGAAAGAGGCATATATACCAAAATATTAAGTGAAATTATTTCAAGGCAGGACACAGTGGCTCATGCCTGTAATCCCAGCCCTTTGGGAGGCCGAGGCAGGCAAATCACTTGAACTCAGGAGTCTGACACCAGCCTAGGCAACATGGCAAAACCCCGCCCTACAAAAAAATGCAAAAATTAGCTGGGCTTGGTGGCACACGCCTGTAGTCCCAGCTACTTGAGAGGCTGAGATGGGGGGATGGCTTGAGCCCAGGAAGTAGAGGCTGCAGGGAGCTGTGGTTGCACCACTGCACTCCAACCTGGGCGACTGAGTGAGACCCTATCTCAGAAAAAAAAAAAAAAAGTTATTTCAAAGTGGTGAGATTCAAGACATTAATTTTTTTCTTCTTTTTTGCTTACCTGATTTTTGTACAGTATCGACGATGAACATATATAATTTATGTAATTAAGAAATTCAGTCATTCATCAACAAAGATTTTGAGGTTATCTCTGCAGTCTATGGGTGAAGTTGCTTGGGAATGAAAAAGAAAAGGACAAATGTGAGACACGATCCAGCAAATGTGTTACGACAATTGACAGGACAAGGCAATTGATTAGTTAGTAAAAGCACACAAGACAAGGGGTCACTGTTAACAACTTTGAGTGTTGAGCAAAGTTATGGACTGAATGTTTGTGTTCCCCTAAAATTCATCTGTTGAAATCCTAACCTCCAATGTGATGGTATTAGGTGATATGGCCTTCAGGACGTGA